TAATCCAACCCAGACACAGGCGTGACTAAGCGCTTACGACGGCATTGTGTACCAGATGTCCGCCGGGGAATACGGCAGCATCATTTTAATTGTTATGGCGCAGTTTTTTTTTTAGGTCATTCAGCCAGGCAGATTTTACGGGTCGACGTGGAGTTTGGAGGATCTCGGCCTGTCATGTGCCCCTCAGTGCGAGAGCAGCAGCTGCCGCAGACGTGGCCAGATCGCATTCAGTCCACTGGCGATGGAGAACGAGTGTGAAAAACGCTGAAAAACTCCATTCAGAGCGAAGCATCCCGCAGTGTTGATGGGACACTTTGCGGCTAGGATACAATAAACCAGGGCTATTCAACTCACGGTCCTCGAGGTCCGAGCACTGCTGATTTTCCAGCCTTCCTTCACCTGTGAGCCAGGTGTGAAGCCTCTGACCAATCAGAATCAGTAATTATTAAACTAACTACCTGGGAGAACTGAAAGCAAGACCTGGATTTGGAATCGAGGGCCTGAGTTGAATAGCCCTGCAATAAACTAAGCACAGTTGTGAGAAAATAACACAAAACTTTGTCTTTATGTCATTGAACACGCCTTTGATTTGTCATTGGTCCAGCGCAGAAGCCTAACGATGTTCTTTTCTACCAGTAAAACTGGAGAATCAAACACATTGCATTGTGGGAAACGGTTTGGTTTTTAGCATTGACTTCTTTTAAGAAACTCAATATTGTCAAATCTTGAAATAAGCCTGAATGATCCTCCGCTCCTGAGGCACAGTGAACACAAAGGTTTGATTTATTCTGGGATGTACTTGTTTGTCAATTGAAAAATAATTACCCCCAAGCCTCCCCAATAAGTGGTGACAGCAGCTTTTAGCAGCGGTGAATGCAGTCCAGCACTTCCTGTAATTATCGATCTGTCTGTCAGCGGCGATTCCGCCGGATCATCCACACAGGACGTCAGTTAGGTTTCAGCCGTGAACTGCGTCCTAATTATGGCCTCAACATCTCACCTGCGGCAAAAGTCTGGGCTCATCCGTTGTCCGTTACTAGAACATTTATGCTGTTGGATGCAGTGTTTGGTGTTTGTCAGGCACGGCGAGGACGGTACTAGTGAAGATGTTTCGCTTTTAACGCTGTCCTCCACAGACCTTTGTTCTAGAACTTGAAGAACATACAGATGGATTTTGGCAGCCTTGGCGTGAACATTTGTTCGTCCCCTGGCAGTGGGATCTCCCCTCCATCTTTTGCATGCCTTCCACTTCCTGGCCAGGTGCTCTGATTGTAGCGTCATGAACATCCATGTCAACCAGGATGAAAGAGTCTGTTGAATCCTTAATGTTATTCTGATGAGCCGCTCCAGCCATTTTACATGTTGCTCTCTCAGAGATTGTCTGCTGGCCATTCCTAGATGATATTCTACTGACTCAGATTTTCTCCATTTCAACCATATGTCTCGTAGCGCGTTTCACCGGGACTCCATAGCTGTTCCGGTGACTTGTAGCCCTTTCTAGACTGAAAAGGCATCAGCAACATTTTTATAGAGATATTCTAGCGTTTATTCTGATTATGTTGATATGTGGTGAAAAGTTTCAGCCCTTTACAAATGGTCAAGATGACTCAGATGTATATCGGACAGAGCTGACCCTAAAGGCAGAGTGAGTCTCTCTTTTTCAGACTCCAACTCAAAAACTTTTCTACATGAAAAGTGGTGGGAAAAAATCCTGAAACTTAAACGAGGGCTCATATTTATTAACAGTAGAGTGAATATCCAGGTTAATGAGTGAGCACGTCTTTCATCTCCTGTAATTCTCAGTCTCATTCCTGGGTCAGAGAGGCATCTTGGCAGATCCTGAGGACCCAGTACTATAGGGGCCCTTCAGCGCGTATAATTATATATTTTATATAATTATATAAATATCTGGCTACACCCCAGTGTGTCCCGGGGGGGGGGGGGGTCAGCTGCATGACAGTCGCATGGTGGGGGGCCGCCTGCAGCTCCATCCCAAATGTCTCACATGGGCTCCTTGTTACTCAGAGCTGTTCAGTCACTGACCTTATTGGCTGTTGATTTATACAGAGTGACTTCACAGAAGATCTAAAGATCGATTTTATTATTAACTTCTCTATATGGCTGCAGATTCCGCTCAGTCCAGCTTCAATAGCTGAGTATACAGTGCATGGTTGTGGTGCTATTTTAACATTACGTTTAAAACAATAGTAGTTTTATTTTGTAGTCAGATTTTTTTTACCGTAATAACCACTGTATTCTGCTTGAATGTTAGTATTAGAAGTGAATTGTTTTAAGAAAGTAGCTTTTTGTCTTATTTTGATTTTACTTACCTGTTTTCTTAAACTTTAAACAAGGTAACGGCCCGAACACTGAACCTTGCGGTACCCCAAATTCCAGCTGCATGTTGTTCCTCTACAGTGACACCCCCCCCCCCCTTCCCCGTGTCCATGCACAAATGGATTTTGGAGATTAGACTCTCAAAGGGGTGCTTATTTTCATAGCAATAAAGGGACGCTTCACAGGGATCGAAATGCTGGCAATTAAGGCAATCTTACATTTGCAAGAAAACAGGATGTAGTCGGTTAGCAAGACACAGAGGTAGCAAGACAAACTTTTGATGGAGGTAATCGGGAATCCTCCGACAAGGCTGTGGACATCCAGCACTCTGATCGATAGCTGTGCCCCGATAGTGTCTAGCTTATTGCAAAAGATGGTGCTTCTCCTGAGTCTTTGTGATGACCTTGTGTTTGACTGATCATGCTACTTCAAACTCCCTCGAGTTATAAACAAACGTTCCTGTTTTGTCACAGATTTTGCCTGCCGCTTAACTGACTGTTGTCAGATCTGTGGATGCCTGTATCATCTCTAATGATTTTAAGAGTAAAATTAAACATTACATGTAATAACTTTTGAGCCCTTTATCAAATCCGGTGTCAGAGAAAAAAGAAAATAATGGATTAGGACCTTTTTCTGAAAGATGGCTGGATGCTCCAACCTGCTCTCTGTCTCTCTGAATTCCCTTTAGTTTAATCTGTTCACCCTAATCTTTCACTCGGTGACGGTTGAGTGCCTCCATTGGCTCCGCCCCTTTTCCCAGCATGCACCCTGGGTCATGTTGGCAGGAAATGTGAGAAGCTGCTTGTGGCAGCTGTATTATTCGTGGGCCAGCAGAGACCTGGTCAGCGGTGCCTGTCCAGTCGTGAGGGGAAAGGGGGGGCTGGGCCTGATGAACGACCATCGCTGTCGCGACTGGCGCCTCGTATTCCTACATTACCCATAAATCTGTGCTGGTAAGATGCACTACATTTTGCCCTGGAATTACATTTTTGCCCATCTACTTTCATTGCTAATATTTATATCATTGTTCTGGTATCTTTATTTGGCATATGCGGTGATCCTGTGGCTTAAATGCAGAGAAGCATAAAGTGGGGCAGGGGGAAGGTCATGTGACAAGCCCAGTTACCTCACTTGTGCATTATTGCCAGCAATATGAATGACTGTGACTCCCTATTGTGTAGTTTTGGGTGGAGACCTGGTGGGGAACTTGCTAGGGGAATATGCAGCATCTCCCAGCGAACGTCTCATGACATCATTATGGGGAATCTGCCGATTCTACACACTAACCCCTCCCTCCAGGGTCCCTTGCCTGGGGCATCACTCTCCGGTGACACCGTGGAGATCGGAGCCTTGACCGCACATGTGCAGAGGAGTTAGGCTCCTGGCCACTGTTCTTGTACCTTTGAATATTGGGCTGAGAAATGACCCAGTTCTTTTTTCTTGCTTGGATGCACGACTAGCAGAAGTTCACGCAGTGTGTGTCACACCGGAGGGATGCAACAAGGCAGCCTGTAATTAGTCAGGGCAGAAGGCAAAGCTGGTGAAAGAGCAAGAACAGCCAACTGCCTACTGCGTAACCTGTGCTCTGTGGAACCCAGTGATGCTATGCTCCTTAGGTACTGCGTAATCTGTGCTCTGTGGAACCCAGTGATGCTATGCTCCTTAGGTACTGCGTAATCTGTGCTCTGTGGAACCCAGTGATGCTATGCTCCTTAGGTACTGCGTAATCTGTGCTCTGTGGAACCCAGTGATGCTATGCTCCTTAGGTACTGGGCAACCTGTGGTCTTCAGAAACTGCTGAAGCTATGCCCCTTAGGTTCTGGGTAACCTGTGGTCTTCAGAACCTGCTAAAGCTATGCTCCTTAGGTTCTGGGTAACCTGTGGTCTTCAGAACCTGCTGAAGCTATGGTCCTTAGGTACTAGGTAACCTGTGGTCTTCAGAACCTGCTGAAGCTATGCTCCTTAGGTTCTGAGTAACCTGTGGTCTTCAGAACCTGCTGAAGCTATGCTTCTTAGGTTCTGGGTGACACATGGTATTTAGATGTTGGTTATGTTATGGTTTTTAGATTCTGGTTAATGTATGACCTTTGGATGCTGCTTAACCTAATGCTGTTTAGTACCTGCTGAAGTTTATAAGTTGCTCCTTAGATAACAGTTAAGTTATGGTGTTTAGTTACTGGTTTACCCAGATTCATGGGCCTTTATCATATTGTGCCTCAGCTTGAAAGTTTATGTTTATGGAAAGATGTGAAAGAAAATCAAATTGCTTTTAATGTGCTGGGGATATTAAATATTGATGGTATTAAATATTCATCATGCTTGGGGGTGAAAAAAGCCCCCATTGAAAGAGCTGGTGCTGAACAGCTTTTTTATAGCCTGGAGGTTTTAGTGGAGACAGCAAGTTCGGTTGTTTCGGGTGTTTCTCTTTTATTTATTTGACACGTGTATTTTAGGACGCCACATGACAGAGGGTCTGAGTGCTTCCATGGTGCCGCAGATGCTTTGCTGTTTAAAACATTCTGAATGGCGTCAGATCCCCCCCCCCCCCCCGCATCTCTGAGGGCGCAGGAAATGCGCGTCGAGGTCAGCGGAGCAGCAGCAGCGCAGCCACGAGCGCTGTAAAGCGCGGCAGCTGCAGCGACTAATCCGTCTTGCCTCCACAGGGAGCAACGCCAGCCGGCCCCCATGAGCACAAGGACCGCCCTCCAGCCCTCCTCAGCCAATCCGCAGAGGTGGGCGGAGCCCATGCGCGGCATCACAGTCAGCGTTCCCAGAGGGCGATTCCGGAGGCCACAGGTCACACCGAGGTGAGAGGCTGCCATCAGAACCGGGCCGTTCGTTCACTGCAGGGAACTAAACAGCACTGTAAAGATCACCACCCTTAAACATACTGTACGTCCATCTGTACGTATTTATTTCCTTATAATGGTGTGTCACTGGCGGGGTGGAGGGGGGTGTAATTAGAGACATGAATGTGCAGCACTACACGGAATAAATGTCCTGAAAATCTGCTGAAATCTGAAAAAAAATCTCCACCTTCCAGCAAGCTGCCTTTTCTGCTGCCCCCCCCCCCCTACAACCCCCCTGCATGAAGGTAACAAGTTTACCTCCATGGGGGTGGGAGTGGTTACACAGCTCTGAGAGTGTGGCAGCTGTCCAGGCTGCAGGGGCTCACTGCCCCCTGTGGGGGTGGGGGGGGGGGCAGCCTGTAACTATGGAAACGGCCGGGCTGGCTTCCACGTGGCGCTTTCCCCCCACGCCCCGGAGGCGGGGGTCCGTTCTGAAAACGTCACTCATTAGACCTTAATAGAAATAATCGGATGAGATGAAGTGCTGCTTGAATAAGTAGTTTGCATTTATTTAGTGTACTGCACTGCTGGTAGGAAACTCATGACCTAAGACTCTCACTCACTAGTTCAGTCATTCCAGTGATGGGACAAAAAAGTGATTTAAATTGATTTTGAGTTATAATTACGATCTGATTGTCATCTAAACCTGGAATCATTTCAGCATTTCCCAGCACCCCAGAGCTGCGAATCCCTCCATACTGTACATAGATACGGATATAAAATACCGTCTTTTGTGTCACTATTCACCTTTAAGTGTTTGAAAAAGCTGTAACAATCAACAATTGCGACTGCACCCCCTTACTCATCACATGAAAATGCAATTTTAATATATGAAGTTAAAAAAAATGAGGTTGTATTGGAAACATATATTTGAGTTGGTCATATGATAATAATTTATTGTAAATGTATTCATACGGTACTGATCACTGAGAGACCCCCCCCCCCTCAATTCGATGCGTGGACAAGGGGGGTCGCGCTCGCCGTACCCCAGGACCTTCCCATCCCTGACGGTTGGAGGGAGAAGGCAATTCCCATTCGTCCTGGGATGTCTGTGGGAGTGTTTGTGTAACTCAGTAACCCATCTAGGTGGCCATTTATGGAGGCCATGTGTCCCTGTGATCAAAAGGTCGCCGCTTCAAATCCTAGGGTCAGCAGTGTGATGTCATCACTGGGCCCCTGAGCGAGGCCCTTAACCCCCGATTGCCCCAGGGCCTGTCTGACGCTGCTTTCTCAAGAAGAATGTTTGTCTGTTTGGATAAAAAGCATCGGTTAAATAAATAAAATGTATAAGTATAACAACTGCAAGTGGCGTACAGGATCGCCGGACGCAGCTGTGGGCAGGCAGGCAGGCGTCTCCACTTACGGGCATTAATGCCCATTGAGCAGGTGGCATGACCTCATCAGGGAATCCCTCTGCATCCACAGGGTCTCCACCCCAGAATGACAGGGCTTGTTCCTCAGGGGCAGCATCTCGCTGAACAGAGCTGAAAAGCAGTGCTAGAATGATGACGGATATTTACAGGAGGGTTTTTAAATGAAACTGATGGCCGCCAACGCGGAACGTTTCCGGAAGGCGGGGTGGAGACCGGGCCAAGGTGACATCTTCACCTTAAAAAGCAGCCTGTCACGGACGAGGTTACTCTCTGCAGACAGCACCGCATGCTTTCACGCTGTACTCTTAGAAAATATGCTCACCTTGAGGTCTTCTTATAAGTTCTCTTTGTACAAGCCGGACGTTTTGTTGAATCACTATATTTTATTAAACTGGGGCTGTTCCAGACTATTGCATTGTACAACAACAGCATTTCACTTCCTGGGATTTGTGCTGAGAAGCCCTCAGTCGGAAGTACATCTCCCTAAAATTGATTCGGCTTCAAGTCTGTTCTGTTCCACTAGCAGCAGACAAGTTCCCTACAGCGGCGATGAGCTCGCAAGAGGAACAATGGATGGGTTAGGAGACTGTATCCACCCAGCGATTCCCGCTAATCCAGTCAAGTCTAGGACACCCATAATGACCCTACTAAAGGGGCAGGAGGAATTCTAAACATACAACCATCCCCTTTGCGATCGTACTCAGACCGCCATGGGGTGATTTAGCACATGAATGTTTGTATGTGTTTTTTTATATATATCTTATTACCAGAGGAAGAAAAACAAAGCTGTCTGCTGCCATGCTGTCTTTTCCAGTTCACAATAAATTAAATTACTGGAAAATTGACTACATGACGCCCAAGCGTTCCTGATTTACCGATTTGCAGGTCTGGGGTGATTCTTCATCTCTTAATTGATTTTACTGGTTAATCTAATGTAACCAATCAGGCCCTGTCTCTGTAACAGACATGCTTTCTTTAATATTTTAATGCACCGTGACTCTTGTGCTGGGACCCACGACCCCTCGCTGCTGTTTGTTGACCGCAGAGTATGTGAGGACTCCATAAACCTAACCCTAAACCTAACCCTAAACCTAAACCTTCCCGTGACGTTCCTTGTGACGCAGCGCAGCGTTGCCATTTTTATGGGATAGAGTAGAGCAGCTCGCACTCGTCTGTGGCCGGGGATTTTGTCCTGTTTCCCTGGCTCCCTCTCGTCCCCGAGTCCAGCCTGCTCCTTCAATGTGAGCCATGTAGGCTGTCCCTCCCATTCACTGTGGTATTCGGCCTCCCAGTGAGCAGCGAGACTTAAAATCTGGAAGTAGGTTATACGGTGTGAGGTGTTCATTTATACATCCCAACTCTGTGATTTTTTAAAAATTATTTGTTTCTTCTTTACTCCCTTCTTCTTTAATCTTTTTGTTCCTTCCTGGTCTGTGCACTCTCTTCATATGATATTTAATATATTTAGCGGACGCTTCTATAGAAAGTGACTTACGATTGAGAGAGCAGTGTCAGACAGTCCCTGGAGCAATTGGAGAGATTTGAACCGTCGACCTTCCAATCACAGGCACAACCCACAGAGCCACACAGCGCCCCCTGCTGGTTAGCTAACTCACTCCGCTGGGACTCAAAGATTCGGAAATGTGCCGTGAATATTCCAGGCGGCCATTGCGCTGGGGGCATGGCTGTTGCCTGCGTTTGACGTGGTTGCTATGGAGACGGCACCAGCGTCTGCCTTCCGGAAGGCGCCAGATCTGGACTCTCGGGGGTCGGTGAAAAGGAATAAATGAAATGCAGGCCTGCCACATCGATCACTGGGACACACGATACTGGCTTGGGAATAGACACAGGGTCTGAGATCAAGGAGTGAGTGCTGAATGACCCCCCCCTGCCCACGCAACCTCTGCGATTCAATTAAGTCTTAACAACCTTCGTACCTTCTTTTCGCACATCCGAATTGATCAACCCTCCTAGTTTCCGTCCTGGGGGCTGTGTCACCATGATTCTTGCTCTGAATGTCCTGACCTTTCACCATAACCCCCTCCCCCCCGGCAGCTGAATGGAGGAGAAGGAGAGGAGCCTCTCGCCCTCGCGGCGGGCCAGCCGCGTGGAGCAGGTGGTCGGCCGCTGGCTGCGACGTTCCCGCGACTCCAACAGCAGGTGAGCTGCCACCGCCAGCCTGGCCCCACCCACGCTGCATTGCGGAGGGAGTCAGCCCCCGCCAGGCGACTCTGGTCTCTGACAGCGCAATGCATCATGGCCACTCCGCACTGCCCCTGCGAGATCTCTTAGCAGAAACTGCCACTGGCACTGTATGCGTAAACAGTCCCAGATTGTCCCCCCACCCTCTGATTCAATGATCGCTCTTTATTGCGGCGACTGAAATCGCATGAAATGCAACGGCACCCTGTACTTACTCATATCACTTATTTCACTAATATGCTAAGACGCCTGCAGACGAATCGCAGTAAAAGTCCTTAGTAAAAGACGGGCAGCTGGTAGGATGCGGGCTGCGGCAGTAAATCGAAGGTCTCCCTGATGGGATTAGTCTCCAAATGACGTTGCCAGAAAAAGGTCCGATGAAGCAGATGCAATTAAAGCCGCTTCAATTCTTTCTGCTCTTTTGATTAATTAACAGTATTTACTGAGTAAGGTTCTATTTCACAAGCACTTTAAATATATTGCTAAGTGATTTTAGCGGCAGAGTTTGTGTATATATATATATCTCAAAGGCAGCCGGGAATCAATCTTCCATGTCTTGCATTCCTCTGATGCCGTCCACAGAGAGAGGGCAGCTGGGGAGGGCAAGTTTGGGACTCCAGTTGGTGCTGTGGCCGCCCCCATCAAACTGACCGTGAAGCTTGCAAGGGACCCACGCTTGGACTCCCATGGATTCGAGATCTCAGATCAGTGCCCCCTGCTGGTCACAGAGGTTACTGCAGGTACATCACAATTTCTTTTCACCCACTGTTGCATTCATTACTTCACCTTATCGGCCTAAATAGTATTTTGGAAGCTCACACCCGGATCCTGTGATTCAGACCTATGCTTTCTGTGCTGGTACATTCGCGACAGCAATATTCCATCAACACATTCATCAATGTTCAAGGCCACATAAAAAGTATATTGATGTCATGTTTAATAACCTATTCTTACACCCGAGGGATTTCAAAGAGGTTTCTTAGTAAGAGATGCTTCAGGAGAAAAGACCTACTAATTAGACTCTTAAGTAGCCCACTGCTGCCAGTTTTGGCCAGCGCTGGTGTTTGGGCGGGTTTGTTTACCTGGAGTGGTTGAAAATGATTACACGGGTGAGCAATCACCGGAAGCAATAAAAGGCTAAATGCCCGAATGCACGTAAATGGGAACGGATGCTCGCTCCCTGGCGCCACCTTCTGAGACAGTGACGTCACTGCCAGTCATGAGGAAGAGCCTTTTCAGTAATGTTCGAGGGTGCAGCGTATTGGCCGCTGCTTCTGACCCGTTTGCTCTTTCGTTTGGAGACCGGTGTCGCCCCCCCCCCCCCCCCCCCCGATTGCATCCCAACACCGGCTGTGATTTTAATCCCCAACCGGCCCCAACCTGCTCTTGAGCTCCAGGAGAAAAAGGCAGAAGTTCCCGCTCGTCCGTTTTGTGCTAGCTCTCCCGGAGTCGCGTCGCTCTGTTCTCGGAAGCAATTCTCAGTCTCGCAGCGGGTTCCTCCGGCTCTGCAGCTGCCTGGTAATTAAGCCCCCCTTCCTGATGAGGTCCTGGCTTACCTGTCCCCGGCTGCGTCGGCGACTCAGCCTTTAGACCGGGGGGGGGTTATAAATAGGCCTGGTCCCTCAAGGAAACGCAGAACGGGGACTGTGAGAGTGACTCACTTTGTGGATGTGCGCGATGTGCAGACACTGAATCACATGCGCGCGCGTGTGTGTGTGTGTGTGTGTGTGTGTGTGTGTGCGTGTGTGTGTGTGTGTGTGTGTGTGTGCGTGTGTGTGTGTGTGTGTGACACAGGCGGCCCGGCGGATGGCAGGCTCGTCCAAGGAGACCAGGTGCTAACGATTAACAACATCGTGACGGACGACCTGTCCGCCGAGCAGGCTGCTGAAATCATCAGGTAAGCTCCTCCCGGTGTTCTGTGCGTTCTTCGTCATCTGTCTGCCTCTGCATTGCAGAACACTCCAGAACATTCCACTGACCCCCCCCCCCCCCCGCCCATTCACCGGAAGGAGAAAATAATTAGTCCAATTTGGGCCTGAAAAACTTTTTATACATGATATTCAGGATTGAGAACACTTTTATTTGTTATATTTCAAATTCTGTGCGCTTTTTAGTGACAATGAAAGCAGACGTGAGCTGGAAAAAAATCCCAGAATGCCGCCCCGGCTCCCAGCCCATGTCTTATACTCCTTATAGTCGTCCCACCCTGAGCTCTCCTTGACTTTCCCCATGCATCATTCAGAGCTTTGAAGAACATCTGAATGGAGCAGGTGCATGAGGCCATGCAGACCAGCAGCGTGGAGCGTTCTGCTTGATTAAGGAAGGAAAATTCATAACATTTAGAGAGGCGTGGGTCACAATAACATGATATTTCTTTTTTTTTTCTCTTGAGGAACTTCCTCAGAGGTCACGCTGTCACCCCTCATTTACAGTGAAGGGAACGTAATTAAACCGGCAGCCATTTTTACTGTCATCATCTCTGCGATGCTAATTGTGTTTACTTCTGCTGCCACTGCTTGGCGCCTATTCCTGCTTTCCTTCTCTCACTCCATCTCATTTTTTCTCCTGCATCCCTGACTAGACCTCCCTTCTTCTCCTTCTTCTTATTCATTCCCTTGTTTTTTTTCCTCTACCTCTCTGCACCACGCTATCACACCCTAATACATGACACGTCCGAAGGATCCTGCAGTGATTTTAAGATCCCAGTGACACTCAGCGACCGTGTTTACCACCATTCAAACCATTCAGGCCCCCCTGTTGCACACAAACAGTCACTACACTATATATTTACTTTTTTATTTGCGTTTCGGGAAACAGCTAGTCAGCCATGAGACATAGGAGTTTTACCTAAACAAAAAAGTTTTGAGGGCAGAACAAAAAATGATTGGTTCAGAGAAATAAGAGGAGGTAGGTCCAAGCAACTGGAGGAGGTAGGACCAACCAATCAGATCTTAGTCCTGCCTCCAATAGTTGCTTGGACTCACCTCCCCTACAGTCTGATTGGTTCAGAGAGATAACCAATAATTTTTCAGTCCTCCCTCAGAACGTATTTGTGTAAGTAAAATTCCCATGAGCTAGCTATAATCTTCTGACTCTTTTCATTTTATATTCATTTAGTTTTTGAAACATCTGAAGGGGCCCAAATTAACTTTTTAATTGGGGCCCCAGAATTAACAAACGCACCCTTGGTGATGTGTGATTTGATTCGACAGAACCGCACCTATTGCACTGGCACGTCCGTGTTTGTCAGGCAGCACAAAGCACCTAGAATCATGGAAATTCCATGTGTGTAGTTGAAAGGGATTCATGATGTCAGCTGCTGCAGAATGAGAGGACCCTCTACCACATCTCTTGCCTCTGTGTCTCTCCTCAGGGAATCATGGGATTGTGTGACGCTGATGGTCCTTCGGCACACGGCTGTGAGTATCTCCCTCTGCTAGGTCTCGCTGGAGTTGATACCACTTAGATGCCCAGTTTCATTGTTTACTAGATTTTCTCTCTTTCAAAGGTCTTGTTTGTCTGGAATGTTCTCCTTGATCGTCAGTGCTTTGCAGGGGTTATTTAATTGCAGCTGTTTGTCCACTGCAAGTTTGTGTTCATCTCCAAAGGCTGCTTGCATTACTATTTTCACATATCAATAAATAAAAATGTGTTTACACTCATCCAATATTAGGCTGTTCTCTAGGAAGAGAAAATGTTAAAAATATTTGTGTTTGTATGTTGAGGATAGGGTGTCTTTCCCACAGGGGCCCAAGTCCTCCTTCATGACAGCGGAGAAGAGAGCACGCTTGAGAAGCAACCCTGTGAAGGTTCACTTTGCAGAGGAGGTGGTGGTCAACGGGCACACTCAGGTTAAAACAAACATGCTCTTTGTGTTCAGTTGTGCAGGAAGCAAACTATGCACTTGTGTGGTGCCCCCTGTTAGCCACAAACAGTCACTACACTAAAAATAAATAAACGCTTTCCTTATTTAGGAGATGAAGCAATCTGTTCTGCTAAATGTCCAACTAGCCATGGTCTTCTGACCCTAATTGCTGGCTGTTTATTTAGTTTGAGGAGGGCAGGGGGCCGCAAAGTGACTTTTGGAGTAAAAGGCCTCAGAAACAAGGAAGTCAGCCCTGTCTGCAGGTGCACGGTGGGCTTAGGATGCTTCTGCGTCAAGAAACAATCTGCATGGTGAACACATCAGGATCTGCAGAGGTGCTTTTTTCCCCCACATCTGTAACACCTGCTGTCCTCCCCAGGGAAACTCGTTGCTGTTCCTTCCCAACGTCCTGAAGGTCTACCTGGAGAACGGCCAGACAAAGGCCTTCAAGTTCGAAGCCAAAACCACAGTGAAGGTGTTTACCTTTCGCTCCCCTCCGCAACGCGTTCCGATATCGAACACGTGTCACGCCGTGGGGCCGGAATCCAATAAAGGTATCGAGCAGGTGGTCAGGAGCTCGATGGAAACATCCAGAAGATACAAGGTTGCCTGCAGCCTCAGCATTATTAGGCGCGATTTCAGCGGCGCGCTTGGAAATGTGCAGCGTCGGTTGTTAAGTTTCCTCGCGCCGGTGTGGACTCGGCCTGACATCTGTTGCTCTCTCCCCACGGCTGCAGGAAATTGTGCTGACTCTGAAGGAGAAGCTGTCCATACGATCGATTGAGTACTTTGGGCTGGTGCTGGAGGAACAGTACAGCGTCAACAAGCAGCTGCTGTTACACCAAGAGGAGTACATCCAGCAGGTGAGTGTGACTGACAGACGCATGCATGATCACGTGTCCATAGCAGCTGTAGGCGATGCAGTCAGGGCAGATTCATCCACCAATCAGAACCAACTGCCTGGTAGATCCTCTCCACACCACACCAACCATGACAAGAGGTGGATAGTTAAGGTCCAAGATTTTGTTTCAACCAACCAGTTGAGTCCTCTGTGACTGTAACTCTTTATACTCAACTGGTTGGTTGAAATAAAATCTTGGACCTGAACTACCCACCTCTGGCCCTGACCCTCTTAATTGAAACCTGATATGACTGCAGGTGGATTCGCTGATCGTGTGATGGTGTTAATCTAGGTGGTGCACAAGAAAGAGGTCCATGACTACAGGTGTTTGTTCCGCGTCTGCTTCGTGCCCAGAGATCCCCTAGAACTGCTGCAGGAAGATCCCGTGGCCTTTGAGTACCTCTACCTGCAGGTGAGCCGTCTTCACATCTAACGTCTCGCTCACATAGTAGCTAAAACGTTGCCTGTATGATGACTGGGTGGGTGGGGAGCACTACTGCCTTTCACCTGTGGGGTCTACCTCTGCTGGACTGGATATGCTCTGCAATGGAACAGCATCCCATCCAGGGTGTACCCCAGCCCCGTGCCCTGTGACGGACCGGCATCCCATCCAGGGTGTACCCCAGCCCCGTGCCCTGTGACGGACCGGCATCCCGTCCAGGGTGTACCCCAGCCCCGTGCCCTGTGACGGACCGGCATCCCGTCCAGGGTGTACCCCGGCCCTGTGCTGCCTAGGATAGGTTTCAGGCCCTCCTTGCAGTGCTGACCAGAATAAGCAGTTACGGATAATTCCATAACATCTACTACAATGATCATCTCACCATTCATCTTAAAAAGGTTTTCCTGGTAAAAGCCAATCTACAAAGGGTTATACTTTCAGTTAGCCTTGAATTTCAGAAGAATACTATGTTGCACTCCTGTGCTGCTTTAACACATTAGAAAGTGCTACTAATTAAGGAGGAGGTCTTTGTTTATCTCTAAATTAATGATGTCCTGCCAGGTTGAGGTTGAGGGAATTTTTCAGTGTTGCTGTCTGGAAAAACAAAGCATCTGCATGTGTCCTTCAATCAGGCCTTTCAGTAAAAGCAGCTTAGCTTCAACATGGCCGACTCATACTGAGATGTTACTGACGGACCTGGTTATCTCTGTCAGGTGTGTTAAATTAGGGCTGCACCTAAACTCGGCAGGGTGGTAGATTTCCAGGATCAGGGCTGGTGAGCACTGGGTTAGATGAAGCTTTTGAATGGATAGAGTTGAATGTGTACGGCTAACGGTTACATCTTTCAGTTTTTCCAGTTTAGTCTGCGTGATACATATAGTAACGTAAGTAGCACAATTTAAGGTACCTGGAACTATAAAACTCCACTTATACCTGGGTACGGAAACTCAGGACATTGTGTTCTTTGGCCTGTGGTTCTTTAGCTCCAGCTATATCTGCCTTGTCCTCCTAAGGACATGTAAACCCATTAGTTACGGCATTCACCCTCAGCGGGGGGCTGTGTTAAGCCAGTACGGGACGCGATGCGGCTCTGTACCTGGTGCACGGTGAGAGACTGGCCTGTCTGCTGCATGTGTCGTCCCCGCAGAGCGTCAACGACGTGCTGCAGGAGCGCTTCGCTGTGGAGATGAAGTGCAACACGGCACTGCACCTGGCCGCACTGCACATCCACGAGCGCCTGGACAGCTGTGGCCAGACTCACCGCACCTCCCTGAAGAGCATCACGTGAGCCAAAGCTTCGCCTGTCCTGTATCGACAGCTTGCAGCAAGTACTGTAGCAACAGTGATCACCCGGCCAGCCATAATTTACCCAGAGTTACTATCGGTGTATAATTCACCGTTTAGAAATCAATAAACGGTATAATTACTGTGTGTGTGATTATGCATGGAAGCTGTCTAGTGTTTACTGTTCCAAATGTTTCATCTTTGGTAGGAAGGAGTGGGGAATTGAGAACTTTATCTCACCAACCCTACTGAGGAACATGAGTGAGAAAGATCTGAAGAAAGCGATTGGCTACCACCTGAAGAAGATTCGGGCCCTGCTGGATCCCAAACAGAAGGTACTGGAAAGTCTGCGAGGGTGGCGTTTGTTTGCTCAAAATGCCCCAGACCATCACCACAGAGCTAAGGACTTTGTCTTCTTCTGAACAGGTGATATCAGCAACCCAGGCTCGCCTAAGCTACCTGGCACAGCTGGGCGAGCTGCAGTCGTACGGAGGAAAGTGCTTCACCGCCACCATACTGGTATCAGGCCCAACTTTCCACGATACGAAGCCATTACTTATGTTTGTGTAGCAGCTGGTGCCAGTTGGTTTGCTCTGGTTTTTAGATGGGACCGTTTAATGAACAATTTAAATTCAGGCTTATTTTCACTGCACTATTGAGCTTAAACCAATTACTGTCCCCTTATACCTCCTGTAATTTGAAATGAAATTTCTGTCAGAAGCATGTGGTTCTGTCAAAGACGACCTGGCCCAGCTCCAGGAGGAACAAGCTGTCGTCAGCATATCAAGGCTGGCAGCACTCCCTGGGTTTTCACAGACTGGATTCACAGATCGCATCTGTGCCCATGCTCCGCAGTTCCAGGACAGGGAGTCCATGGTTAACCTCCTGGTGGGAGCCAGATACGGCATCAGCCAGGTGATCAACCAAAGGCTCAACATCATCGTCGTTCTGACCGAATTCACCAGCATCACTCGCGTAGACCTCCTCCCCGAGTCTGAGAGGGTTAGCCTAGTCAAGATTTACTTGCAGGACGTCAAGGTACCTGACCCTGAATATTGCACTGCATGCCTGCAAAATTTATGCTTCTATATATAGTTAAAGAATTTTCTGGTAACAGTAGTATACCAGTATGATGTATAGCCCTCTTTATCATGTGGCCCCAGCAAATAACCCTCCTGATGGAGTCTGCTGCCGCCAAAGACTTCTCCTGCCTAGTAACTGGTTACTGCAAGTTGCATCTGGACCCAGCCCTGACCGTTTTCTCCTGGAGCAGCCCTGCCAAGATGTATCGCATCCCAACCGAGGCAGGTAAGCAAGTGACGCCAGGAATGTAAGAAATGGGGGAACTCTTGGGTAAGCATTAAGTCACCGGTTGAGCAAGATCACTCGAATTGAACTTTCTGTGTTGCGTGTACGAAGGCTACCCCCAAGATGGTGGTGACCTAGATGACTTCTCCATAGTGGACAGCTCGGGCAATGTGCTGGTCGACTTTCACTTCTCCATTGATGACGCGAGGGTGATGCCATTGCGAGAGGAGGAGGATGGAATGAAGGGTAACAAAAACGAAGAAGAGGAAGAAGTGGAAGCAAATGGGAGCAAGGTAGCAGATGAAGCAGCAGGTGACCGGGGAAACGAGGAAGAGGATGAGACATTAAACTTGTGCCATAGCAGGAGCCAGTCTTTGGAAAACCTGGATGATGATGACCTTCTGACCTGCTCTGCCGGCGAGCCTTCGAGCATAGATGCCAGTCATCCCTATCTTCTGGACACATCTATATTGGAAATGGAGCTCGATGGAGATGGCATTATCCATGGTCTTGAGAATACAGAACAGAAAAACGAGGCCTTCCTGTGTTTCAGGGACTTCTCTAGCATGGCGGACTCTCTCCCCAGTCCCCCAGAGGCCACTGATGAAGAGGACGAGCGCCAGCGAATCAATTTAGGCCACTTCAGTGAAGGTGGACTTACCAAGGGGGATGATGATGTGGAGAGGCCCACCTCTTCTGCTCTCACTTTGGATGTAGGTGACCTCCCCGAACATCCTGAACCGGCCCAGGCTAGGCTGCAGGTCATGCCCCAAGACCTTCGGCCAGCCCCTGTTCTCCAGCCTTCACCCAGTTTTGTAGACAGCAGCTCAGAGGACGAGTTCTTTGATGCCAATGATAAATTCGTACCTTCAGCAGCTGGTCAGGAGACCTCAGGTCAGTTCTTTTGTTTGTTGTAGACATTACAGGTAATGTTTTTGCTTAGCTATTTAATTAATTCAATTTGTCATAGTACATAAAAAATTGGTTGGTCAAGAGTGATGCATTTCGGAATCTGGGTGAGATAATGTCTTAATTGCATGACTTTGGATGTCCAAAACAACTGCTGAGAAATAAATAGGACCCTTACAATAAGCTTCTTTCTAAAGAAATTTGTTTGTGACTTTTCAGGCAGTTAATGTTGTGTTATCGTGGCGTTTTAGAGATTCTGAAGTACTTTATCTACTATAAATGAAAAATGTCCAGGCTAATTAGTAAAGATTAACCAATGTCTGTTAACAGTGATCCGCAAGGACAGAGCAGGCATGACCCGCACGCTGAACCTGCATAACCTCAGCTGCACAGAGCAGGAGAGGGAGGAAAATGAGAGGGACCAAATGTCAACACCACCAGCAACCTCAAGTGTTGTGAAAAAGTTGCGCAAACGTCACTTCTTCGCAGAGAACTACACATCCCAAGTGTCCTTCCCTGTGACAGAAAGAGAGAATCAGATGGTGGATGAGGACCAGTTGGGCAGGTTTGACAATGATCCCTCAAACTGTTCCTTAGAAAATGAGCCTTTCCATCACCCTGAGCCACCAATCCATTCAGGCTCTCATCTGCCAGGTTCCCCTGGCAACTCGACAAGTGAGAAGCTCATTCAGAACAATCAGCTTTCATTTGACCTCTTGGAGATGAACCCAGACACTTTGGAGTACAAACTCTTTAATGGCTCTCCTGTGGTTTTGGCGGAGTATAGCCAAGTAGACCCAGAGGCCAAGAACGGCAACAAATGTTTAGAACATTTTTCTGGTTCTGTTGAAGAAACAGTCTCCAGTGACAGTGTGGTCCTCAACAGCTCAGAAGCCAGTAATAAAGGGCTGCCTTCCTCAGAAAAGCAGTCATCCCTGAGTTGTACACTTGGGGGACAAGATGGTAAAGCGAGGTACTCCGAAGTTCAAATGTCTCCCCTACAGCTTACACATAGTCCACAATTCATACCTACTAATACCTCAGTCTTCAGCTCACGTAGTTCAGAAGAGACACAAGGAGCTGAGGACAATGAGGCAGGTTTAGAGGCTGAGTCTCAAAGTGTCACTGCAGACCAATGGACAAATGACAGCAGCTGTCTTGTCATGGTCTCCAGTAGGCGTATTTCCCTTAGTTTTGAAAGCATTTTGCTGGTAGAAACTGAGGCTTCAGATATTGTTGAAGCAAGTAGCGTCACAACCAATGAAACAACAAACACAAATTCGCAAAGACGCTCCTTAGGCTTAGTGGGCCGACTGTCAAACTCTGCTCTGCGAAAAAAGATCCGAAAGCTTCCTTGCTGTCTCTCTAGGTCCCAGGAAACTCTCAACACTTTGGGCAGCTGCACTGACAAAACCACTTCAGAAAGACACATGGACGAAAGCCAGGTTGCTACTGAGGTCACTGAGGTGACTGAAGCATCTACTGCAGACGTGGAAGAGCCCAGCGAACTGACAGAGGAAGTCATAGAGATGCCGACTGAAGAATCGGAAGATGACCCAAAGCTACTGAAGGTGGTCACAGAAAACAGGTCTGACACTGATACATTCTGTCATCGCTTATGTTCCGATGTTGAAAGATCAGAATCTAAAATGTTACAACTCTGTAAGCACCCAGATGTGGGCATGTGCAACATTGGTTCTGCTATTCTGTCAAGAGAGGACGAGTCAGAGGATGTGGGGGATCACATGACTGAGGTGCTTCAAGAACCCAAGGAACTATATAGAGATTTAAAACCATGTGAGTCCAAGCAGCCTCAGCCCTTGCCCCATCCTTACACGAAGGGGATGGTTGAATTTATGCCTCCACCTGTGCTGCTGGTGTCCCGGACTCCCCAGGAACACTGCGGGTGCCAAAGTTATTCTAATTGCTTCAGCAGGCAGACAGACAGAAGAAATTTAGACGAGGAAGAGATGCCGGATCAGACACAGGGAAGAGAGGGCACATGCCTAACAGTACCCTCCATGTATCCCGCTTCCTCCATCCCTCCGTTCTCCAGGGTTGTTCTCCCTCGTTCCTCTTCCTCAGAACTAAGCCCCTTGCTGTCTCCTCTGGACCCTGCTGACTGCAGCCCACCAGATTCTCTGCAGGAAGTGCTCAACCAACTACGCGGTCGGCACTATAGGGTCCCTGGGGGCTTCTCCCTGCTGCAGCAGGATCTGCTGGAGCTGCTGACCATCCTTGAGGCAGAGCCCCAGGGCCGGGGGCAGCACCACTGGGAAACATGCGTAGCACATCTCTCAGAGAACAAGCACCTGCTCCATGCCGAGGCGCGCAAGCTGATGTCCAACTGTCAGCGGGTTATCCGGGTGGGCCAGGGCCCTGACGAGATGCTGCGGACCTTGAGCGAGAGCTTCCACACCCTGGTGCAGCTGGCCAGCATGTGTCTGTGCTTCTCCAGTTGCTGCCAGTGTGAGGGCAGCCTCACTAAGGTTCTGGGAAGCCTAAGGGAGATAACCAAAGCCTACAGGGAATTCTCTCAAGAGGCAGAGCTCGCCTGTGGAAGGAAGAGCTGCCAAGATGTCAGCATAAAAGTGCTAGCGAGACAATGTACTGCCCTCACTGCCTCCGTCTTCTGCCTCACGCAGCTGTACTGCACCCTCGCTGCTCTCTGATTCTGCCTTTGACCTACAACCTCTAACGCTCAAGTCCCACTTGTGAGAGATAGGAAAACTCGGAGGCAATGGAGGAACTTGCTATGGTAGAGAAATTCCTATGCCAAGTTGCAAAAGACAGGGTGTACCTGAAAGGTACCTGAGAGGTACACTCCAAATTCCAGCACGCACGAGTAAATGGGACATGCAAATCTGAAGAAACACTCACAAGTGGCAGCTCCATGTAGTCCTACTACAGCATTCTTGGTCTTCGTCTACAAACTCCAGCCACTTGCATACTTGGTCTTTGTCTATGAACCCTGGATACTTGCATACTTGTTCTTTGTCTATGAACTCTGGATACTTCCATACTTGGTCTTTGTCTATGAACTCTGGATACTTCCTACTTTGTCTACCAACTCTGGACACTTGCATACTTAGTCTATGTATACGTATGTATGTATTTATTGTCCTCAGCTTATTTAGTACCTTATTGTAATGGCTGATGTCAGGGAAGTAATGAGCAGGGAAGGGATCTTTTATGTCCTGATTCAATAGTCCTGTTAAATGGATTGTGTGAAGAAACATGCTAAAGCAAGCTGTCCTATTCTTTTTATTTTAATTTAGCGTAAACACTGGATGAATGTTTAACATACAGTAATTATGGCAACTACTGAACTGTTTAATACAATAATTTAAAGAGAAGAAGGTAATTTTAAGCCACTATGGCTGTGTGTTTCTTCAATACATGGTTTATATGAACACGCTCCATGCTAAAGGGATAATGCTGGTTTTTCACATGGGCCAAAGGTGTAAGATATAATTGCATGAGATGTAGATGCAAATGCAAACAAAAACCTTTAATTACTCATTGTCTTGAAAATTATGTAGGTTTTTTGTATATACATATATATCTCCAATGCAATGTTCTGTTCTTCAGGAAAAAGGTGGTGGGGCTTGCAAGACTGTTCTAACATTCAACAAACGGTAGCCATGTCTTTCCACAGTACGGCAAGATGAATGTCTGTCTCAGAGAAACGGCAACCTCTCGTTTCGTAAAGCACAACTGCAGTAGGGCTTGCGTTACCGAAGAAGGCGTGAAGCACAGTGCCTGTGATGAAGATACGTAGGATTAAAACGCTGACGAATTGACTGAGCTGCAAATGGGTAATCTGGGAGAAGTGTCTAGTGTTGCTGGGGGACTTGCAAATATTTAGTTTTTCAGAACTGTTTGTTCAAAAATCTCTTGTATTCTTATACTGCATGAAGAGCAAGAATCAAAATCCAATGTCCTGAAGTAAGGATGCTGGTAAGTCGAGTATGAAACCTAGCTGATTATTATTTAGTAGCGATTCTGTCATTATGGATGCACTGGGACCGTGAGCTAGGAGTTATGAATGGTCCTTGTCATGCTGCCTACAGCAGAAACATTGATAACTGGTCCTAAGTTTGGTTCTTACTGTATTTTCCATGGAGGAAATCTTTGTTTGAACCTTGTATTTGTTACTTGAATTCAGCTCAGATGTAGGTGAGTCATTCATACATGTTTACATGGTCATGTTCCTGCCAAAACCCTAATTTCATACTGAAAACAGATATATAACTGAAGATGCTCTAAGGTTAAAGGTCATTCTGTTCTATATGGAAATGTTTGGTTTGGTTGGTAGAGAACGTTTTTTTTTTGCCAAAATCTATTTTTTAATAACTGAAAGAACAATGATACAAAGCGCTCCGGTGCAAATCTCAATTACAGCTGTAGATACAGTAAATCCTGCTTGCTAAAAGCCATATCTGTGAGCTGTCTAAGAAATGAAGGGACAATCACTGCTGTTTTTATGCTGAATTAAACATTGGTTTTAAATAAAACCTGCTTTGATTTTTATTTTTTTTTGTCTGAGACTGACCTTCATCCATGTAAAGGTTTGTTGGAGACAGAGATCATCAATCTACTGCACCGCCGATTATTCAACACGAGAGTCGGGCATTGGCTACACATTGGGCACCTCCTTGAGAAAAATAGACTCAATATACTGTCAAATCTCAATACCCACTTTGAGTTTCAGTAAAAACTTTTTCCCATGATCTCGAAGTGTCAACCACAGGTGGAATCGAGAAGGGCCTGAGAGGAGATATTATTCAGTCAGATCGCAAAATAACAGAAGATTAGATTAGATTGGAGTGGAGTAACAGAGAGACAATTATCTGTTTGTATTCACATCTAGCTGTCTGTCTATTTCAGACAGATAGATAAAGAGTAGAGTAGATGCTTTATTAATCCTTCTGGGGTCCTTCACAGTTTGGCTGAAGTTTTTCAGGCACCTATCAGGTAAGCACTCAGTCCCTGATAGACCAAGAGTCCTTTAGTTTGATTGACAAGGTGACAGAGTCTCCCTGCACTTGGAGTATAAAAGTAAATGCAACATCTTTCTGTAAAAAAAAGTGAGACTGCAGCTCATACATTTATGGGTGCATTATGCTAATGAAGATGCAGCAGCGCGCAATTAACTTGCATCGAAGCTGACAGGCACCGCAGGATCTTTTATTATTACTATTATTTAAGAAGCTGAACTCTGCAGTCAGCAAAAGTCACCTTGTTTCCCCAGGAGACGGCGTGGTCATGTCAGCGATATTTCACAAGATGGCGCCGTCGACCTCCTTCGCTATAATCAGACGGGGCTCCTTCGAAACGTTCCACAACACACCCCACGGTCCTGTCCGGCATGGATAGGAGGAAAAAATGACAGTACGGCTTGGAGGAATACACCTTGGCATAATACAATGATCCTCGTCACGACCCTGACCAGGATAAGCGACTGGAAGATGGATGGATGGATTCTCTGACAGGGTCCCTTAAGGTCTCTTGCTGAAGGATTGACAACCTACAAAGGCAATGCAGTCTGGGCCATCGATACTGAGAAATCACTCTGAGGAGAAACGTGGGATAACAAAATATCAGTCAGTCACTCCTGTGCCGCAAGGAGATGGTTCTTTGCTGCAAAAAGAAAAATGGATAGATTTTACTATTATAAGATGCAAGGGTAGAGAGATTTTGCCCCCCCAACTGAGATCAATCCAATTATGTCCCCAATTTTTTAGGGCCCCTGTCTGTCGTCCTAACTTTCGCCCTCTACACGGCACCCCCGATTCATCCACTAGAGGGCAGATTTTGCACAGTCAGTTACATCTGCATACTGCATACTGCATACTGAATACCCAAGGCGAGTGCAGCGGTAGCTGTAAGCAGGGCACTGAGATGCTAAGAGACTGCAGACAAAAGCATGTGACACGGTTACTGGTTACTTCAAAAGACAAAAAAAAAAGAAACTTTCAGGTTTTTTTTTTTACTTCACACCTAAAACACTTCACATTGCCCTCCCCAGCCAGAGGAGGTTCTCATTAATTGACAGCAGCTTATTCATCATGCAAGTGTTTACACTAGCAAAGAAATGATTGGCGGTGGGCAGGGTCCGTCCTGCAGCATTTCGACAGTCACGGATGAGGATGAGGCTCGTGTTACGTGACAGATCAGGGTGACGGATCAGGGACGAACCCCAAGATTATTCAACGCCAAGCTGAAAATCAACTGTTAATCTACAGGCTATGGAGCTAACAGGCAAGACTATATGTATCAGACATACGTAGGCGACCGCAATGAATGGTTGTCCATAGTCATTATTTTGTCTAACCCCTTACACTACCATACATTTACCTTCTCTGATGTCTAAGTTCGCATAACATTAGATTAACATAACATTAAACAAAGCTGTTTTGCTTTCTATTTTGGCAAATTACAGTTGGCCCCATAACACCTTACGCTGAACTGCTGTTCCTGGAAGCATGCGCTTATACACTAAATAAGCATATTTTGTATATGGTGATGTGCTTTATATAGCTGTGGAGATATTAAACTTGCAAATAAATCATCACATGACCTTGCCATAGCCTATGAGAGGTCAGAAAGTTGCCCCATACACCGACCCCATGGGAGCCCAAGGCAGGGAAACGTCCCAATACCCACCATCCGCACAAGGAAACATCGGCGGGTCTAACGGAGTAAGATGGGGAGGAACTGCCAGCCAATCGCCAGCCGAAAGCAATGAAGCACATTAGGGGCTAAAACCAGACAGAGGCTGACGCTGCGCAAGAACCACACTCTCCATTTCCTTCATCTTCCGTTCCAGCCATTTCTGCCATCTATATTTATTCCATAAATACAAACCCCTTACAGCACCTAGCCGTACGGCTGCCGCGACATTAATGCTGATGGGTGTTACTGATTGGATAGTGCAGATAAGAATTCCTATATGCTGATGTACAAAAGGGAAAGAAACACTCGGGAATCGACCTCAGAACGTGTTACGGTGCATGTTCGCAGATAACCAGGTGCCTCTGGGGAGCACTACCCAACATGTTCCTGCAGATCCATCACGGTCCCGTCACTGAGCCACAGGAAAGGGATTCTGGGAAGTAGCATCACAGCAGCTCCTTATGCAACAGAAAGCCCATTTTGTTTAATAAAGAAAGAAACTATTACTCAGATGGGTCACAGACCCTAAGAGCTTCCGCCACCAGAATGCTCACATCCTGGGGGGGTAAGAAAGCACCCTTGAATGAACTGCCTCACTCAGGTGGTCCTGGCAATTTCCTGCCTTCCCCAGGCTGCAAGGGAAACGTGCTCCACCTCAGAACAACACATTCCTGACCACAAGGACAACAGAAACTACTTCTTTTATCAGTGGCCATGCAAACGTGTCTAGAAATTTGCCCAGAAGGAATCCCGTTCAGAGGTTCTGTTTTTATTGTGAGCTTTAATGCTTTTCTTTATCACAAAAAAGTAGCGATTGAATAAAAACCTGCACTTCTAAATAAGAAATGTCACAAAAAAATTAGACACCGCTACAGAAACAACTCAAAAGGTCAAACAAACAAAAACGGCGTATTGATTATTGTCAAAGCGAGTGAACGACGAAGATGAGGACACCAGATGACCCAAATAATCTGGTCTTCACTTAAGTTCCCACAAGTCCCAAACTTCACACGTCAACTTAACATTGGTCTTCAAAACAAGCCTACAGTTCAATGTTCTACGAAGTCTCCTCCATTCCCAGTACACCCAGTCATCTCTTTCACTTTGATTCTAAGCCTCCAGCAGAATCACCCGAAGATAAGATTGACAAGTCCCAAAAGAAAGATGTACAACATGGATCCACAGTTTCCAAATCGTCAGTCTGGCTCCATCTCATCACATCAGCTTCAGAAGGAGCTCATAAGTGGCATTGATGATGCCCCAGGACAGGACGGAGCGGTGACAATTCAGGTGCACCCCCCGGAAGAGGTGCGTCACCTTGCCGCCCCGCTCCGTCCAGATGGTACGCAGCACCTGGCGTGAGGACAGGAAGTCACCCCCCACCTGCGACTGCAGCCGCGTCTTCAGGACATTCAGTGGGAAGAAAAAGACACCCAACATGGCTCCCAGCAGACCCCCGCAGATGAAGTCATTGAGGAGGTGGCCGGCGTGGCCCCGGGCCGCAGGGAGCCTCTGTTTGATGGGGCCCCGGAGGGTGAAGAAGAGGGCATTGCTGGGGCCGTTACGCAGCAGGATCGGCACCAGGCCGCGGTAGCATTCGCGGACGCCGTGCTCCTGCACCAGCACGCGGAAGGTGTGGAAAGTGTTGTTAAAACGGCTGTGGTGCCGGTGGTCTTGCAGGAGGGTCTGGACCCTCTCGAAGGGGGTGAGGGCCGCCTCGGCCATCCCCGCCAGCACGGCGGCAGCGCCGCGGGTCAGAACCTCGGGTCCGCCGGCACGCTGGAGCAGGAGCCGCGAGGCGTCCTCGTAGAGGCCGAACATGAGCGCCGTGGTGGCGGTCCTCTGCAGCAGCGGGGGCAGCAGGCCCCGGTACAGATTCCGCAGGCCGTCCCGCCTCAGCTGCCACAGCGCCTCGCTTAGCCGCACGCCGTACAGCTGCTGGCGGAAGAGGACCTTCTGCAGGGGGAAGGTGACCACGATGTTGGCGAAGGAGGCGCAGGAGCCGCACGCGTAGTGCCGTCCGTGGGGGCCCAGGCCCGGCAGCCGCAGCTCCCGGCTCGCCTCCCGCTGCATGGCGCCGGACGCTCACGTCCTCCTACTGCCCGCCATCGCCGCCGGCAACAACCCCGATGTCACCCTGTAGGAATCGGCCAATAACCAAACAACACAATTAATCGCAAACGAAACTCCAGATCAATATCAATCTATACCTGACTTTAAATTATAACCAATGGCACGTTTTCACTGCCACCAAGAACCAAGCTGGACCGCGAACCGTGTCATAAAGTATGTGAACCATATCCAAGCCATAACCGCGCTGACATGGGGCTGCTGACTAACAGGCCTGAAAGAGTAACCAAACCGAGCTGGTTACCTCACCAGCATCTGTTTGGTTGAAATTCAGGGAGATACCTGGTGTTCTGGTATGGATTATCTGAAATAAAAAAGGGTTTATTTTATACATTATTAGTAGTATCACAAATGACACATTTTCCATTTTCCAACCTCCAACTGAAAAAAGCTGAACGGAATGGATTTGTGACGCAAATTTACGCAAGCCAAGCCTAACCCTGCCTGTGTTTTATGCTTGCACAACACGGCGATTCTCATAGATGTACTAGAAAATTAGGAAAATCTTGTACACTGTGTACAGTAAACAAACATCTCTTTGGTTTTACGTCACAGCCTTTACCGGGCTGACCCCTATGCAGTGGAAAACCGAAGTGAGCTGGAACCACACTGTAAGTAGTGTCTGTTCACTGTACGACTCGGTTCCTGTATACCAGTGGAAAAAACCCACAATATGTATATTTTTGGCAAAGTTCCAGCTGATCAGAAAAAATCCACCTATCCATCTTCTAACCTAGTCAGGGTCGGGGTGGGGGTGGGAGTTTGAAGCCTATCTGGGAAACACAGGCCACAAGGCAGGGGTACATCCCAGATGGGATGATTATAAATAATTTCCCACCCAATAAAAACAAACCTGGATAACCGTATAACCATATTTTCAGGACATGAAACAGTGAGGTCACTGCTGACATTGTGATTCATGTACAGGATTTACTGCCATTAAAATCGCTGGAATACGGTCAGTATTTCACAGTTATAATCATTGGCAAGAGAAATGGCATGAAAGGTTATACAGTAGTGTGAAATGTAGAATGAAAATCAGCCTAACCTCATGAAAAGGCAGCCACACTGTTAAAAAATATTACAGCCAAGCAGTGTCATGTTTCGTCATGAAACTGCATTCTGAGTTACCTTTTTGCGAAGAATTGCAGATTCCTGTTTATTTAGGTAAGCTACAGATTACTCTGAATGTTACTGCAAATTGACCGGTCTGTTTAATGACTACCACTGACATTCCCACCAAAATAAGCATTTGTGACAGTAGGAATGGAAAATATTTCTTAGACAAACACTAAATGGAACACAGAATGCAAATATGCACTATACAAAAAAAAGCAATAAGACTTATGCTCTCGTTACAATTTTCTTCTACTTGACAAACCTGTTTACCTCAATGCACACAGGCATTAACAGACTCATCTAGATTAACCAGAACCAGTCACTGACTATGACCAAAGAATCACGGTACAACTCTTTTTACAAGATTCTATTTCCTTAACAGACAAATTTCCTTTCGGAAATATGGTAGCGCAAAATGTCAAACCAAACTAATTTTGGTGTTGACGTTGATAGCAAATTCCGTGTAGGTCTAAAATTTGTAAAATGTATTATTTTAGAATTTTACCAATAGGCCATACACCCGAGCTGGTTATGCATGTAATTTATTCAATATAATTTATATATTACGTCTCACATATGCCGACAAAGAAAAAATATTAAAACACAATAAAGAAATGTAACTACCAGTATGTGTCAGCCGTAAAGAACGATAGAGGAAATTAACAGCTTCTTAAAACCGTTACTAAGTTGGCCCAATAATATACATGTAGGCCTACTACTAAATACGGTATCAGCTGCGTTGGAGTAAATCTTCAACCCGCGAATATCAGGCAGTTTCTTAATCAGATAAACACCAAATTCAAGATGGTCAGCCAATGGTAAGATGGACAAAAAAGCGAATGTAATATTTTTCATTACAGTCTTTAGCATAATTACTAAACTTTAGTTACACCTTCTGTTGCAAATTATTCAAGGCTTGAACCATCGGAATAAATAATAATAATAATAATAATAATAATAATAATAATAGTCCATGCTGTCAACTTGCCATCTGCACTTAAACACGCACGTCCATTTCTACTTGAATTATTTATATGATTCATTTTCCTTAAATGATTTCCTCCAGTCTCATTCTGTCCACAGCTGTCACGTCAGCATTCTCCCTCACAGAGAAGGACATCTTAAAAGATCTCCAAGGTGTTCGCACCGTGCACCGTAGATGAGCTTCAGAATATAATGACCATTACCTTAAGGTGTAGGCGATGCTCATCCGGAACCTCAGCAGTGGGCAAATTAAGTGATATTCAACAATATGGCCGAACTGTGGTATATCACTCTAGTAGGACAAGAAGATCATAAAAGCCTTTTTAGGTACCATCCCACAACATGTTGCTTGCTCGGCGGCGCGGCATGATGACGTAAAGATCGAGACATCACGTGGTCCAGGTTGTTTAAAGCGGGGCACAGCTTCCAGTTTTAATAAGTGACACTTGCTTTAAACTCATATTCGGTTTTTTGAAGGGGTCTGATCAAGCGAATGTAGTGTATTTTTTCCTATTTATTTATTTTTATCATTTTTATTTCTATTATTATTATTAATATCTAGTTTTCTCCCTGTTGGGAGGTTAGCGTCCTGTGCCACACTCCAGTCCAGTAGGTGGCGGTAATGCTCCGTTAAAGCTGGTTGCCAACCGCCATACAAACTGTTCCACAATCAGTTATAACAGAGATGTAGTTTACCTTTAAAGCTTCTTCCAGCACATTTCTTTTTAATTCACCTGCAATGCAACCTACAAACTCTGCACATCCTGTATCATTATCATATGTCTTTGACACATCCATGCCATTCTTCTTCATCAGCAGCATTTGAGATTTAAACTTTGTGAATGGTATTTCTTCCAGTGAAATCATATATGCTGCATTGAATTTTATTTTTAATTCTTTCATCTCATTTTCTGTCACTTTCTCACAAGTCAGAAGTTAGCAAGATGACGTTTGAAGCAGAGTGGGCGTGTCAGATAATGCCCTGCTTCGGTTTGGCTAAAAACTTTAAAACTTTTTTTAGATAGAGAGAGAGAGTCTCCACCGGCGACTGGAATGAAAAAAACTAGTCGCCATCTGGAGCCCTGGGCAGTGTTGCCAACTTAGCGACCATGTCGCTATATTTAGCGAGTTTTTAGACCTCTCTGGCGACTCGTTTTCAAAAAAGCGACTAGCGACAAATCTAGCGACTTTTTCTAGTGTTATTGGAGACTTATGGAGACTCTGACGTGGAAGCACGTATCGTTCTTACTCTCCTCACCGAGCAGCGGGTGCTGCCGTGGGTTCCCCTCCCGTCCCAAAGCATTCACAGGCGGACAGTCCTCACGCAGCAGCCCCGCCCAGCAGCAGTCAAAGCAGGAGACGTTCACTTTCCCGCTGCAAATGAATCGCGCGTGCGCGAAGGCACCACTGGCTGTCCCTGCCCTGGCTTATTGCCAAAAACTGTTAAATGACAGTTTTTAAGATTAAGTAACTCCATCAGAGTGTCTCTTTGGGGTCACTTTTGCCGGTCTCAAGCCCGGATATAGGAGGAGGGTTGGAATTATGATATAAAAAACAAGAAACGACAGAAGAAAGTTCATTTGTAGTTCTAAACGTATTTAGGGTGTTTTTTAACCACCTTTTGTCTCACCCACGACATTATTCCTCTCTCCTACAGCGTCCATTATAATTACATGCACATTATGCAAATTAGGCGATGGGGTCATTTAGTGACTTTTGAGACAACCAATAGCGACTTTCCTTGCTGAGGAGTTGGCAACAGTGGCCCTGAGTATGATTGTACATTAGATCGACTAAGACGGTAACTGTCTGTAGTGAGCAATAGGGAGAATTCTCAGACTGCAAAGTATTGTATTAGCACAGGGGTGGCTAATTTTATCCAGAAAGGGCCATTAGGCATGAAGCTTTTCGCTTTGTAAGTATTCGTAGTGTGATTGAAACACAATGAACTAAAATCAACGTAATTACAGATGGGGCGTCTTTCACAAAATGCAGTGTCATAGCTAAAAGTTCTTCTGTTTACCACTCCAAGAAGAAGGCGCGTCTCATTATTTTGCCACTATTGCTATTTCTGAGTTTTTCCATATTATTCGTGTTTATGTGACTGACACAATAAATTGATGACATATATATATAGTGTGTGTGTGATTATTATATATTTATATGATATTACACAGTTCGCGAGTTTTTGTACGCGACCAGCTGTGAAAGTTAGACCATTGATATTTTAAAGGGTAAATGACCGAGGTGAAATCAGTTTTAGGTTGAATATTCGACGGATATTCAGATCCACACTCTCCAGACTTAGCGGCGGTGCTTCACTCACGCTAGCCGGCCTAAGGTGGTCGAAAGACGTCCAGATCAATTCCACAGCCTCGTAGACGCTCGCTCACCGCTGATTTAGGGACCGTCAACGAATTACTGTCAGAATAATAAAATACTGATTGCTTGCAATAACTTCAATGCAATATGGGACTCAATAACTCCAAAATTAGGGCATATTCTACAACTACCTGACATATACATGACACAGTGAACTTTACTAATTTTTAACACTTTATTGTATTTTAAATTATCATTTTAAAAGGAAAAAGCGGGTAAATAGATTTCTTTCAATAGCTTATAGGCAATGGGAGCTTATGACGCCCAAATGGGTGCAAATTACGCTACTACCTGAGGTTTATAGGACACGGCAACTTTCATTCGATTTTAACCCTTTGTTTAATTGATATGATTTTTTTCTCTCTAAAATTAGCCTTTTTTTCAATAGCTCTTAGGCCGTAGGAGCCTGCAACCCAAAACCTGGTGCCAATTGTAGTATTACCTCAGCCCTATAAGACACAGCAACCTTTGTTTGTATCCTTTCAAGCACTGCATATGTATTCTTATTGTGAAATTGTGTCACCCTAATGATGTTCAATGTTAATAAAACCCAGTATATAGCACCTCTAAGAAATTTGCGAACGTTACTGTCACATCCCACACCTCCCCTAGTCAGACGACTAAGTGACTGCACCTGTCCCACTGCCTTTAATACCCGGATCGCCCCCACATTCTATGTCAGGTATTGTTGTTTTCATGCGACCTACTGAGCTTTTATTCTGTGTTCTCAGCATCTTCTGTGCCTTTACCTTTATAGCTCCCGTCCTTCCAAGTCCCCGCTTCCCTTGACCCTTGTTCATCAACACATTCTAACACCCGGCGCGTGAAAAACCGAAGCATGGTCAGAGCCCTTTGGTACTGAAGGTCTCCTTCATTGTCTAATTCAGACGCATGCGATGTCTGAATTTTTTGCTCACAACTAGTCCTGGGACAAAAAAATTGAAATCAGGACCGTAGCGTCCACAAATTGCCTATAGGTACGTTGTTGGAGACACTCCTTATCATTCTGATGTGTATAGATGTACAAATACATAAGAATTAAGTCCGGACCCCAAATATTTATCCCATGATGCACTGCAACTCAAACGTCCAAAAACTGCTTGCGTCTGAATAGGCTCTATGCACACCTGTAAGACATTCACCGCCATTACAAATAATACGGTTACGCTACTTCCGGTTCAGAGCTTAGAAGAAATGGCGCTGTTTTATTCAAGGTGTCTCAGCGAGCTGCCAAATTTAAATATTAACGTGTCAGGATACATTTTGACATGTAACTTAACATGTTTAAATGTATGTTATGTTTCTTCATGTATTGAAGTAGCCTTCTCTGCTATAATCTGTGTTGTTTGCAATTCAAGTGTCAAAGACAGATAGTCAGGAGAGGTATCCGTGAGGGCTTTGTGCTTCAAGTCGATGATGAAGGCAGAAAAACCTCATACTCTGAAAGTAGGGTGTAGTACGGTAGTATATTGGTTCAGGTTCAACTGAGATGTTTGAGCTCAGCTGTTCAGTTCAGAGAGGTTTGTTTAAACTTGGGCCAAGCTTTGGTGTGGGAAAGACTACGCTTAGCCTATTTCACATGATTACTTGCTAGATTTATAGATACAATTGTTTACCTTCCTTATCTATTTAACTAACCAGATACAATTTGAGATTTGTTCAGTGATCAGGTTGAGGTGAATAGGCATACCTACTGTAAAGTATTGCCCAAGTTTGCATAACATTTCCATGATATGGCCTGTTTTCTTTATGTGTTGCCCAAGTTTGCAATACATTTGCATAATATGACTGAGTTCCATATGGCCTCTGTTTTTGTTGCATTCATTGCATGTGTTATGTGCTACCAATTCTATGTACTAACTGAAATTTTTCTATCAACAGATCGTTCTTAGAGATTCAAAGCCTGTTGTCTTGGTGAGGTGCAGTTGCTCGTGTGTGGCTGGGACTGCAATGTGCAACCATACAGTTGCCCTTCTATACCAGACTGCTCACTTCTCTCAGCTCAGTGTGCCAGTGGTTCCACCAGTTCACAGCTGCACTGAAGAGGAGCAACAGTGGCACAAACCTCGGACTGCTGTAAGTTTCATAATCCCACGTTACAAAGATGATTAAGGTGACCAATTTTACAATGAAGACTGGCAACACTTTATTTATTTCTCAGGGTGTAAAACCAGGACCAATTGGCAAGATGGTTGTCACAAAGCCTGTGCAAGGCCAGATGTGGGAAGGCGGCTTATGGTAAATTAATGCTTAATTGCATTACATTGTACATTTTTTCCACACACTTAATTACATCACATTATACATTTTTTTTACAGCAGTGTCGTTCCCAAACCTTCGTGGGGATTAATAAAGTATCTATCCATCTATACATGCAACTCACCATTGACTCACCTGTGAAAGAGCTGCATCTCCAGACTTATTGGCCCTGTTAGTGCCACACACACACACACACACACACACACTTACCTGTATACCTTGCCTGTCATGTACATCAGTGTAGTTCCACATATTCATACATTTTTTAATATGCTTTATTCAAAGGAGTACCCTGACGAGAGGAATGCTCGGGCCGCTTCCTGACCTGTCTGTGCTGCGGGTGGCAGAGGTGTACAGTGAACTGGATCCTCTAGATACCCATAGTAGTCACCAATGGCCTATGAGTGCAAACAAACCACTTGTAGAGTCAGAGTTCGGACTGGTGCAGAGAGGGAGTATCCTTTCTTATCAGCAGCCCAAACTCCACTCCAGAAACACTGTGATACACCTCAACGCCCCACCCTATCCCAGCCTTCCCCTGGAGACCCACAACCTTGCGCCAACGGAGTGCGTGTGGGTGTGCACAGAAGAGGAACAGTTGCATCTGCAAAGCTTGACCGTGTCCATTGATATCCAATCTGATACAAACATTTGACAGATAATTCTGTACATACCGTATATAACCTCAACTAGTTTTAGTCCCCAAAATTCTCGCTTTCCATGGCACCCAACAAAGTTGTACTCTCTTGACAAAGGGTGGTCCATAAGGAAGGCCATCATTCTTCTTGTGGCTTCATCCAAGGTAGTCCCTCCAATATCTGCCACCACCGCAACCTGTGGGAATACAAGGGTATCATTAAAGGGGGAGACAACATGCTTTAAGGCTTGTCAAAAGCTCAGAAAAGCCAACTTGGCATGAAAAGTTCTTTATTAGAGACAATTCAATTTTAAAACATATTTACAAGAGCTCAGGACACTGGCATTTTGGTGAATTGGCTTCACTAACATCACCAAAGTCCTCTTTTAGTGTATTACTACCCCTTAATCCATGTTTGAGAAACAGGCTCAGGAGATTACCTGGGCCAGATTACAATTTGACTAGCAGCATTTAGCAGACATATTAACATGTATTCATTAAACTCCAAGTATGTGGTGCTGTATAAACATTTTCTGACATACCACTTCTTTGTGGAAAGTAGGGTCTGCCAATTTCTGTTCCATTGCTTCAACATCTGATACAGTCTTCAGGGTGAATACAGAACCCTCAGGGACGGCTGCCACTGCCATTACGGTCGTGTCACGCTGCGTGAGGAGCGACTGTATCATCTTCCCATGAATCCTCTGTGTCTCTTTGATTTCCTCCAAGATGGTTAGGAGGCGTGCAAACATGCCCTCTGTAAATGCAGAGCTTACACCTTGCACAGGTCTGCAGGGAGTGTCTGGTCTTGAAGGTGGAAGTGACTGGACAAAGGGACGGGTGCCGAGTGAGTGAGTAGCCTTTGACAGCAGATTCTCTGTAACTGGAGGATGTGGATGCCCAGCATCGGATGGTGGATGCCTAGTACAGCCTGATTCTTCATCAGAACTTGATAGGTTTCTTGGCCTTGAAAAGCATAAAAGAAACAGAAGCAAATCTTAACATCTTTGACTTACTCTAGTGTAAAACAATGTTTCTCACGGAAAGAATGCAAAAGTATCATTGCGTTATGAGAAAAGGACTTTTCGCCAATGTACATGAATGTGTCATGATTGAGAAATAGTCTTACCTCCTTCTCCGCTTCCCTTTCCCCATTCCTCCTCCAGATTCTGACTCTGTGTGCAGGTCAGAGTTTGCCTCAGACTTCAAAAGTTTTGTTATTGCATGGGCATCGTTTCCTGTAGGTGATACATAATAAATAGGAAATGCTATCATTCATTGTTTGTTTTGATTTAGAGGCAATCATAATCAGATCATTATAACTACTTAAAAACATTACCTGCTTTTCCCAAGACACGAACTTTAAACTGTGGCCAGTCTGCGCTTGGACCAATTTCTTCCTTCACTGCCTTGCTGATGTTGACTTTTCCTGGTGGCCAGTAACAAGTATCTTCTTCTGGTCCTGGAAACCACTTGCAAGGTACAACAGCTACACCTCCACCAGCCAAAAATTCCACAACAGCAAATGGTAGCATGCTGAAAAAAGCAAAAATAAGCAGGCTAGTGCAACTGTGGCATTGCCACATATCCAGATTTAAAGGGCAAGAGGACAATTGTTCTCCTTAATTCTTCAACTGACACAACATTCAAGTCTTTGGATAATTTGTAAACAAAGTAAATTCCAAGGTATGTTGAGTCAATTGGGTAGCAGAAAAAAGATCCATAGTTTTCAAAAAAATTACATAATACTGTGACAGCTTCACAAGAGCGTAAAATATTTCTCACAATGAGAATTCTTCCCCCTACTGAAAAACAGTCATCGCCTTGAGAACAAGAAATGAGTGTCTGTCCATAACTGTACTGCCTGTACTGCTGGCATGCTCCAAGTCCTTCAATCAATGGGCCAGATACATGGAGCTGTTTAAGGGAAGGGGAAATATATATTTTCTTCTTTTTTGCCATTCTTTGTTTCTCATGGATGTGCCTGACAATTTGCTGAACAGGGTTGTGGGGCCTATGTACAATCTTTTTAAGTCTACCTAAAAATGTTTCAAAAGGGAAGCAGGAAATGCTATGCAAAGGACCAAATTTACGTGCATCTTGAGGAATGTGCACCAAAGAATGTACGTTATATCCAACAAATTCAAGACCATAAATCAAGCCAAAATCTTTGACAAAAAAAAAAAAAACACCAGCATTGTCTGTTAGCACCAGGTTACCCATCTCTGTTTATAGAGACAGGTAGCAACGTAGCACAACCAGATCGTACCATAACAAACATTATTTGTTTGAATAATCCAGAATGTGCTAGTTCGAAATAGAAATGGAAATGTCTATAAAAGTGAACCAAAATGCCATGTACCTGTTATAATCTGCAATTGTTGCTTTGCAGCTTTCCCAAAGAAGACAATTACATCCTCGTAGCTAGGGGGCAGTCATATCATGCGCAGGGCCAGGAACAAATAAATTCAAGGACACCAACAGAATGAAATGGTAAAGTAAGCGAAATCACAAATACTACCCACCCGTGTCATATTTAATAAACCAATAACTTAGATAAACAGCAGGTTTACACGTGGGTTGTCAGAATGTTGTGGAGAAGTGCGCTCATGTAGTTGAGAGGTGGCCGGGCGTTAGCTTGCCAGATGCAAGTTGACATGTATAAATCTGACGATGGTACACTACACCCTCCTCCCTAGGGCCTCCTAGTAGGGCCCTCATACATATGTGAGGCATTAAACCAATATGGCCGACCCTATTTGTCTTTACAGGTAAAGATCAGTGCAAGGTGTTTAAATTACACTAGTAACAGTAATAATGCTAAATCGGTGCTTTCAGCATGAGCCAACAGAAGGCAGCCTTTTGCACACTACTGCGATAATTTAAGTTCTTGATGGAAAATTATGCATCAAATAAGGCTCAAATAACAGTACAAAAAAAATCTTCATACAGGTGTTTCCCGGAGCTACTATGGAGGACTTCTTGCAGTGATTTTTAGCTTTTGTTTACTCGTTCTCTTGTGCTTCTATGCATCGAAGACACAGGTACAGCAAAAATTACATTTTCTAGGTTCTCATTTGGTGTTGAGAGCCTTTTCATTGTGTTTCAGTCCTTGTGCTGATAGACCACCATCCTGACAGCAGACAGTGCAGAGAGCAAAGGAGGGATTTAGGCAACAGCAGTTTTCACAGGTCCAGAGCTGTGCCATACGCTGTCACTGGAAACTAGAATGGCCCAGTCCTTAGATAACTTTCAGTCTCTGTTAAAGGCTCATTTTTCTTTTACTTTTAACAGGAGTTGTGGCTAGTGGGTTGTGGACATTTTGTTTTAAGTTTTAACAAACACATATACAAATTGCATGTGCCTTTTGTTCTGTGTACTCTGTAAATCTGGAGCCACATCACCTTGTCTCTCTGTATACTTGTATATAGCGGAGATGACAATAAAGTTCACTGACTTTTTTGTGCTTGTAATACTTTGCTGAACATAACCCTTCGAAAAGAGTAGATATTTATTATCCTTAAAATGTTTCAGACCGATTCAGTCTCGGTCGTTAAATCTTGATTGAAGACCCATTACTTCAGTGTAGCTTACCCACAACCTAGTACAACATAACTGACTGTTGGTGCTGCTGAACATGTCATTTTTATTTACTATGGTTGTTCATTTATATGTTTGAGACGGAGCTTAGATACTTGCTTAACTATATTGTTGTCTATGATTCTTTTCAATTCATTGAATAAAAAAATGAGGAAAAAATGCTTTGCATAAAATTTCCATCCATTTTCTGACATTTATCCGGGGTTGGGTTGTGGGGGCAGCAGTCTAAGCAGGGATGCCCAGACCTCCTTCTCACCAGCCACCTCCTCCAGCTCCACCGGGGGGGATACCAAGGCGTTCCTAGGCCAGCTGAGAGATACAGTCCCTCCAGTGTGTCCTGGGGCTGCCCTGGGGTCTCCTCCTGGTTGGACATGCCCGAAACACCTCCCCAGGAAGCCATCCAGGCATCTATATGCCTGAACCACTCAACTGGCTCCTTTCCATGTGGAGGAGCAGCGGCTCTACTTTGAGCTGCTCCCGAATGTCCGAGCTCCTAACCCTCATCCGAGCCCAGATACCCTGCAGAGGAAGCTCATTTCAGTCACTTGTATCCACAATCTCATTCTTTCGGTCACTGCCCAGAGCTCGTGACCATAGGTGAGGGTAGGAATGTAAAACGACCAGTAAACTGAGAGCTTTGCCTTCTGGCTCAGCTCCCTCTTCACCAAAACAGAACTGCACTGATCCATCTGTCAATCTCCCGCTCCCTTTTCCCCCTCACTCAAAATGTGTATTTTGTCCAGAACATAACTCTATCTTGTGCCTCCTATGGACCCACCACCTGCAGGGGGGCCATGGGGGTCGGGTGCAGTGTAGATCGGGTGGCAGTCGAAGGCAGGCGCCTCTGCAGACCCATCGTCAGCTACCAAAACTGGTGTTAGGTACATGGAAAATATCATTGAAAAGACTCATTTTTCACTAACTTTTGAAACATTTTGCCTGTTTTTCTCTCCCTCCCTCTCACTCTCCCTGCCTTTAAGCTGGACTCCCCTTGAAAACAGCCCCTACATAAGGGGAACCGCTTCCTGCTTCTCAGGCTCAAACAGTGAGATCATCTGACCTTGCTTTGCTGCTGGCTTTGCTCAAGCTACTCCGAGGTCTGATGTCTTGTATCGTCTCTGGCTTCGCCAGGATACTCTTGTTCCTCTTTTGGCTCCATGGTCACAACATAGGGGGTCGCACCCTCGCCATACCCCATACTTCCAGTATTTTCATAGTTCATAGTTATAGCGGCGTTTTATGCAGTAGGTAAATACGGTCCTTATCACAACTAAAAGCCGTCATAATTTTTTATCATACTGCAATGCCCACAGAAATGACATAAATCATGATACATCTAAAACATAAAAAGTTACATTAATACATAAGTTTGGATGGACTATTGTCCGTATTCATAAGAATTTAACTCATTAAAATATTAATTGTGATGAAAACGGATAAATAACTGTATTTGTTGTAAATGTTTCAGCAGAAAGCTGGAAAAATATAAAGGATTCTGGGTTGAGTTTCCCGAAGCCTTCTTAAAGCTACGTCGTTTGTAAGTTCGATGTTAAAAGACAGAATTTACGAATAATGTAGCATTGTTTTTTCTTAGCTGGATAACTTGTTGGGTACCCATTTTATTAATCTGTTATAATTACAAATTTAATCATTGGTACCCCAGATTACATATTTAACCCAGACTACCGACAAATTATCCAGCTAAGCAAGAAATCCTGCTTTCTGAAACAGGCCCCTGATGACTGTGGGTGGCGCTAATTCGCTCCATTTCTCACCATGATTGAACAGTGACTGAACAGGAGAAGAGAGAGAGAGCTGACGTCGGTCATGCAGTGGACTGCACGGAGACCCTTCGACGCTCAAGCACTGGTTACTCTTTTGTGTACTGCAACTACGTGGGACACGAAGAAACCCCGTGACATTGTCCAGCCAATGCAGAAATGTAAAACCTTCTGTTAAGCATTACAGTAAATAAAAAAAAAACTATTGTGACTTGCCGGTGTGCTTATGTGTGTGTGCAAGCCAGGGTTCCCCAATTTGCGTCCTGGAGGGCAGTTTGCAGATTTCAATAACACTCGGGAGGCTGAGACCACTCAGCCACTTTTGAGGTCGTCTGACATTTTTAAATATTTCACCTATTTCAACATTTATCCCAAAGTGCTACAAATGCCTTTATTCAGCACAAACTAACCACCAATAATCTGATACCACTTAGATTGTCATTATTCTATATTTTGTTTAAATCAGCTAGGTACCTGCAGGTATATTTGAACAGGGATCTGCAAATTGCACTAAATTCTAGCCTTACAGTACCGAACTGGAGAGCTCTGCTGTAAGTAAAGGTTGCTGTGTTACGAAAGCTGGGATGTCCAGAATTACTGGGGGTGCATTTCACTTTTGCTATCAAATGCAACAATTCCCCTTCACATTATTTTAGTGTAAATAGAATTTGCCCTTTTTCATAATGCAGGAAAACATTGCGCTCTAACGTTAACGCTTTTGTTTTCCCAACCATTTATGCTTACATGAGCTGAAGCGTGCATTTTAAACTTGGAATGTGCAGAGACTTTCTATTAATTGACTACACGGCATCAACGGAATACTAGGCATCTCTTCTGCAGCCTCGTCTGGATTAACGTAATAGAAACTGATGACATCATCCTTCTGCGACCGACATCTTTGCGCCATCAACAAACCTTGTTACTTTGTATTCCATGCCACAGTATATTAAATTTCATATTTTTATTTTTTAGCGCGATGTATGGTCCATTTTGCATAGGATAATATTAACTGACAACAGCCTGGTAGAGTATATACACATGTTTCATTCACAGTAAGTGCATAGTGGAATTAGCCAGCCGTGTGTTATGCTAGTCAGCGCTAGCGGTAAAGTACTCGTATGCAGCTAAAGAGCGATTATGTGCTAATAGGTATCTGAGTGATTATCATTTCCATCAAGAAATCAGTGGCCGAAAGAGACATGTCGGCGCAAGCAGACTGTGAGTTTTTGGTGAAAAAAGCTCGGGAGCTGGTTTCTGAGGACCCCTGGGCAGCCAAAGCCTGGCTCATCACGGCTCGCACCCTCTACCCGTCAGATTTCAACATACAGGTGGGTAGCAAACCCCGAAACGTTTCCTATGTAACTCAATTTGCTCTAGATGTTTAATCGAGATTGTCGTGTATAAGAACCGTGCTGTGCAGGATGAAGGCAAGGCAGCCTCGAACAATGGTGTTTATTTTTACGTTGTTGCCCGTTTTTAGTATGAAATGTATACCATCGAACGGAACGCGGAGAGAACCGCGTCTGCCGGCAGGCTGCTCTATGACATGTGAGTGACCGACAGGCTTACCCTGCAGTTAGAGTGAATTGTTTAGGATAACCACCTATTTATCCAAATGTACCTGTCTTTTTTACTGTCTGGAGTAGGTGTTTTGGTTTATCTGTCCGCGGTCTTGCAGGTTTGTTAACTTCCCGGATCAGCCTGTGGTGTGGAGGGAGATAACTGTCATCACCGCAGCGCTGCGCAATGACTGCCAGGACAAGCATGCGCAGTTCCTGCGGGGTGAGGGGATGGGGATGGAGATGCTCTTGGGTTTTGGGGTTGTCCTTGCGGGAATTTCTCTTTGTGTAGGTGCAGTCTCATGTCTTTGTGTGTGCGTGTGTGTGTGTGTGTGTGTGTGTGTGTGTGTGCGTGCACGTCAGGCCTGTTTGAGACGCTGCCTGGCCGCGTGCAGTGCGAGATGCTCCTCAAGGCCACCGAGCAGTGCTTCAACACGGTGGAGAAGGCCGAGATGCTGCTGCTGTTGCTGAGGCGCTTCCCTGAATCCGTGGTGCAGCACGGAGTGAGTAATTCCGAGCTCCCCGTCGCTCCTCATCCTCCTCCTCCAGGGCCATCAGCTCCTCAAATCTACACGTCCTTTTTTCTGTGGCCGGTGGCAGCGTATTTATTCTGTGAGATCTACAGCTAATCGAAGTTGAACAGTTGCACCGATTCGCTGGTGGCCCCAGCTCTTCCGAGGGCTGCTGGCTTAGTGAGCTGATTTCCGCTTTGTCTCACACGGTGCGTGCCACGCTCTGTCAGTTCCTCGCCCCTGTACACGTCCTCAAGCCATCTGCAGTGCGGGTGCCGGCAGTGACGCTTGCCTAGGGTTCCATGTGGGCTTCAGTCAGCACTGGCTCCCGGCGTGTTATCATTCGAGTTTTGAACATTCCTCCCGGCTTCCCTTAGAGGAGTTCTGACAGGTGGACACGCAGGGTTTGCCGAAGAGCCGTAAGCGCTGTGATCGCCCCCTACAGGTGAGCTTAGGGGAGACGCTGCTGGAAGCCGAGGGCATCGAAGACTTGGACACGCCGGTCAACTGCTTCAGGAAGCTCTTTGGTAAGTCCCTTGTGAACCCTGCCCCCCCCCCCCCCACCCCAACTGCACGCGTGAGATGACCCTCTCTGCTTCCCTCCCACAGTGTGTGATGTCCTGCCCCTGATCATCAACACTCCCGACATGCGGCTGCCCCCCAACCTGCTCTACAAGTACATGCACAAGGCGGCCGAGTTCTACATCGGCTACGTCACACGGGGGCCCTCCGCCGACGGCCAGCTGCAGGGTACGGTACATGCTGTTGTACCATACGGGGTGGGCGACGACCTTGGGGTGTTGTCCTTCTTCATGAAGCAGTGCTATGTTGCAGAAATATTTTTGCCCCCCCAGGATCCCAGGAGGGTATGGGCCTCAAGTCCCCCGGCGCAGCCAGAGGCTCGCAGCGCTACGTGATCGACGGCCTGACGGAGAAGTCCTCCCTGGTGTCGGACCCGTGGGAGCGCCTGCTGGACATCTTGGCCGTGGTGGGGGCCCGCTGCGAGTGGCAGGGGGACAAGGGCAGCAGGTGAGGGGGGAGGAGCCGCATGGGGAGGCATAGCCTGCATATCCACTGGAAAAACAAAGCTAAGAAGAGTGCAATTACAAAGTCAATAAAACAATGTGTGATGGATTTTAACAAAGTGGTGTAGAGCAGGTTTTCTCAGCCCAATCGTTGGGGACTCCCAAACAGTCCACCTGTACCAGGTATTCGATGTTCTTGATTCTCTGGCAGCTGGAAGGGAGCAAAAACGTGGACCGTCTCTGGGTTCCTGAGGGCCAGGTTGGGAAACGCTGTCTTAGAGCTGGAACGAAAAGCAAGGCGGCAAACTTTGAACTCAGGATGGGGGAATCGTGGGAAAAGCTCTGGCATTGGGTATGTTAGATGCCATCCATTCTTCTGGTTCTTCCAGGAGCTACCCGGAGATCCTGCAGCGCATGAAGAAGCTGTGCCGCTACCTGCCCGGCCTGGAGGGGGAGACTCTGTCCAGGTGCCGCAGCCAGGTGGTCATCTGTGCCGCCCTGGTGCTCTTCCGGAGCGCCTACCTCTACGTCAGCACTGTGCAGCCCTCGCTTTTCCAGGGTGAGGGGAGTGCGTAACCAGGGTTTGACTATGATAGGATCATGGCTGGAAACCAGCAAACATAAGCATGCATCTCACTGTGTTTCTGTTTGGTTTTCTTGCTCTGACCATGGATGATGACGGTGTTGGTGTTGGTGTGTGCCCCCTCAGGCCTCAGCTCCCCTGGGACAATGCCCTGGATCCTGCTGGAGGACCTGTCCTCTGTGTACAGTGAAGTGGACCTGGAGCGGAGCACCAAACATGCCCACAAGAAGTGCAAATTAGCCGATGGCCGTGAAAAACCCATGGTGAGCAGAGCCCCTGGATCTTCACAGCTGGGAGCTACAAAAAGCCTCTGCAGTTTTTTTGGGTGGTTTGACAGCTTTGTTTTGATGTGCCGAGCATTGTAATTTTTCCGAAGTGAATGTCGAGTATGCTGCATGCCTTCTCAACAACACACTGTGGTAATGTGCCTCACCTTGTCACCCCGAGTCTCTAACTTGGGAGGTATTGAGCTGAATTTCATCCCTCACAGTAATTAGAGACCTAATGCCATTTAGCATTTCATTCCACCATGTTTTTACATTATGCTTTGTTGTGGATGTCAGCATCAGAATGTCAGCATGTTTATGCGCGTGCACTCAGAGCTCGGATGACGAGGACGGCCTGGGAAAAGGGCGTGGGCGGCACATCGTGGTGAACAAGGCGGACATGCCGGGCTGGGCGGAGACGCTGGACAGCTTCCGGACCGCCAGGGAAAGCTGGGATCTGCTGCATTCACATGAGGCCTTGGAGTCAGGTAAACTGGGCAGATCGAGCAACTGGCTCTTTTCATTGTGAAATGTTTCTCTATCGCTACAAACTAACCAAACCCAGTGCTACTTTGTGAAATTACAACCCTGTCCACAGATGACCATCTTTTTAAACCGGTTATATTCCTCATGCAGAGTTCAATAAAATCTGTTCCTCCTGGAAGACCGAGACTTGGCTCTGGCTCAGGATCTTCCTCACAGACATGATTATCTACCAGGTATGTGGAGAAGAGAGAATCAAACCTGCTGTCTGCCAGTAAAAAATTTACTGCTACTAATCCTCGGATTGCAATGAACGGTTTAAATTGATCGGTATCTTTGAGAAGGCAACTTCTATTTGCAAACCTGAAATATTTATATTGTTCCAAGGATGGAGCCATGGTGCACACCTGACTTGTGACTCTGAACATGCTACGTTTGTGTTTCCAGGGGCAGTACAGGAAGGCTTTAAGCAGCCTGCATCAGATGGCCTCCTTCCAGGCCCCACAGCAAGGGCCTATGTCCCCCCAAGGCAGCCTGGAGCACCAGCGGGCCCTCATCCAGCTCGCCTCCTGTCACTATGCCCTTGGGGAGTACCGGGTACGAACACCCACTTCACCTATTGTCGCCTGTCTTCTGTGTTCATTTCTTTACTGTTTTTTTCCCCAGTGATGCTGTCTATCCTGCATATATCATCAGCAGAAATGTGACCTGAATGCAGAAGGGTTTTTAGAGAGATTCATCCTGTTAGCTTGGCTTGTCAGTTCGGGTTACCTGCACATTATCCCTCTTGCCTTAATTCTCGATGTCACTGTGTGTATCTCTCTCCTTGGTGCTCTCTTGCCGGGCCACTATCAGATGGCTTGTGAGAAACTGCTGGACGTGGTCAGTGTACTTGTGCCTCAAACCCAGGACCCGTGCAGGACCCCCGAGGATCAAACCCGGGTCAGGGGCAAGTTTCGGAAGGGTAAGCTGCTGTCACATGATCCGTGCAGGCATTGGAAGGAAGCCTGTGCTATAGATTTGGGTAATTTTGGTCTACTCGAGTTTAAAGAGTTCTACTTGTCGAAGAAATGAACCTGAAGGACAGGTGGACAGCTTAGTCATGCTTGCTATACCATTAGCATGAGGTGAAGGTTGTTCTGTTTTGGATCTGATTCCACATATGAAGTTGTTAATGTGTTTTTTTTCGCCAGGCAACGACCTGCGGCTTCTGTCATGCACTGGCAAAGCTATCATGCCGTTCTGCCTGCAGCTGATGTTGGCCTGCTTCAAGGTATGAAGACCATAAAGCCTGTTCTGACTGTGGCTTTATGTTTTATGTTAATATAATACCCCAGGTACTACTCACGCAAACACACACACCCTTAACTGTAATGCCTCTTTCTTTCTTTTTCTACATGAAATGCCAAACAGCTGCGAGCCTTTACAGACAGCAGGGACGACCTAGCGCTCGGTCACGTGATTGTTCTCCTGCAACATGATTGGCCGCTCGGGGAAGGCTTGTTCCTCAAGGCAGTCGACAAGATCTGCCAGCAGGGGAGCTTCCAGTATGAGAATTTCTTCAACTATGTCACCAGTATCCTTTCCATGTGATACAGGAGAAGCAGTTCCAGACCTTGAAGAATTAGTAGTTCGTTGTCAGATTCACGTTGCCTGTGAATACTTAGTCAAGGCCAAACTTGACCCTCATTGGTCGATGCACCTTTGAAATATGACAGCGTAGACGCTGTTTGGGTTGTGTTGGGTCTCTTTCATCTACTTCTTATTCCTGAACCCTGCCGCTCCACACAGACATCGACATGCTGGAGGAGTTTGCCTACCTGCGCACCAACGAGGGGGGTAGGATCCAGCTGGAGCTGCTGCCAAATCAGGGGATGCTCATAAAGTAAGTACCCCACCCACGCTGCATCCCTTCCTCAGTAATGCCACACCAGGAACAGTAAGTCTTACATAGAGTTTGAAGGTCCAGGTTTGGGGGGTGCTTATGTGTTCTGGATGGAAGTTGGGACTGTGGGGAAAATCGATGGGCTGTAATGTGGCCGGCCTGTGGGAGGCAGTCTTGTGCATGTCTGTGCATGTCGGTCTGTTAGTCACATTTGCGTACCTCCTTATGTTCAGCGTTGTAGCATTAGATGATGCCTGTATGCACCGAGTTAGCTGGGAAGACCTGGTCACTATGAGAGTCTTCCACTGCCGCCCCTGTTATTCTAGGCAGATATGGCTGGATATCTCACTGAGTTTACCCCATATATGCAGAACCTCCTCAGAGGTCCCTTTCAGGTATTTTTTTTTCCAGAAGCCAGTTAGCTTGGACTTCGCTGTATAATTTGGTGCTTGTCTTTGGCTGTGAGTGACCAGCGCAGTGAGATGGCCTCTTATCTTCTACAAGACTATAAGAATTTCCTGGACCTCCGACTTCCTCGTTTTCAGGATCCCGAGTTAGCGTGTCAGCGTAGGTCCTTCACAATCGCCGTGAGTGTGTCCGTACGTCGTTTATGTCCTTCCGGCTTCTGCTGATTGCCGGTCCTCCTCCTGAAACCCTGGGTCGATGAGGTCCCTATCTTGAAGGCACGCTCGTGTACAACCCCGCTGGTCCTCCCCTCTGCTTGTCTGGTGGCCTCTCTGCGTAGTTCTGTGGGCCTGTCGTCTGTGGGTGTACGTGGAGCCAGTTCCAGGTGTTAAATCATGGTGTTTGCTGTCTCTAGGAACCCCAGCTCTGCCCTGGGGCTGGTATCCCAGGATTTTAGTACCCTGCTGCTTCCAGGGGCACAGACCGCCGAAAGGTACCCCTCCCCACCACCCAGACTGGTCATCCTCCGTCTCTTCTGTTTTTTTTTCTTCTGTTCGTTCGTTAGTCCTACAGTCCATTGCTTTGTCGCCGTGCCGCGTAAACATGAGTTTTTTTTAATTTTTTTTATTCCCCCCCCCCCCCCCCCCCCCCCGCCCCCCTTTTTTTCGCGTTGTTTTTTTTTTTTTTTTTTTTTTTTCCCCCCCCCCCCCCCCCAAGCCATGGCATCCGTTTTTTGACTGCGCTGTGTTGTGATTGTATACAGTCTGTTTGGGTTTCCATTGTCACATGGTCTTCATCTTACAGAGGTATAGTTACCTTGCATAATTGGCCTGATTGTTGACTCCCCCTCCCCCAAACAGGAGTATTGTGTGGATTTATGACTCTTTGGAGGGGGGGGGGTAAATGTCCCTCTTACTATCTGTCTGTTTTACTCTTTGCTCTTGCTCATACTCAGACACGCTGTGTACAATGCAGGTCCCACCCTGCCCCCCTAGTTTAACCCCTTTCCAGAAACTGGACATTCCATCTTTATAAAACAAAGTATCAGAATTCAGACCTCTCACTGCATTTTCTTAGGCTGATGTGGCATACATTGTAATGGGCAAAGGTTTGTGCCCCCTTGTTCAAAGTGTATGTTTGATTCAGAAAATAAATTGTAGTTTATCTGGCCTTCCACATGAAATGTAGCAATATGCACTTTTCTGTGCTTGAACAATCCCCTTAGTACTGATTTGATGGTACAGTCTGTATAAGATAGCAGAGCTCTTGGGTATTGAAGTACATCAGTTAGTGAAATGTTGGTATTAGGTCCGTGTCTGCTGTGCTGGATGATGTGCTCACCGAGCACAGAGACAAGTCTCCACTATGTCCTGGACCTGCTGGTCTCATTTACCCCTACTCCTCCGCCACCCCCCCCCCCCCCCCCCCCCCCCCCCCCCCCCCCCCCCCAGCCGCCTTGACCTTTCGTTGTCTCCGTTCTCTGGAACACAGTCCCTCTCCTGCATGACTTCACAGTAGACTTCATTACGTTCTTCATGGCTGTTTTTTGGTGTGAGCCTAATGTATCACATGCGCATCTCTTTGGGTCCGAAATATGAATTTTACTGGTTTCTCCCTGCAAAAAAAAATCTGCGGAAATTAATCAAATGGCACACTGTCTCTGCAGTAATTGGTGTAAAGAAGGCGTTTTTTCCAGTGATTTTTTATTTTTTTTTCCTTCTCCTGAAATCCCTTGTAAACTTTAATCTGTAACGGGTCATGGGGGAGGATGTTTGCAAGTTAGCCGAGGCTAACGCGAGGCTCATGGCCACAGTGATGGGCGCAGAAGGCGTGACCCTACAGACAGTGAGTTTGAGGCATGTGCTCACTGATCTGGCTGTGTAGCCTGGGGCTTCCTCTCTCGCCCTCTCCCTCTCTCTCTCCGTGTCACCTCACTGATATCTCTGCCTGCCCCCCCCCCCCCCCCGCCCAGGCACCACACAGTCACCCGGGGCATCACCAAGGGCGTGAAGGAGGACTTCCGCCTGGCCATGGAGAGGCAGGTGTCTCGCTGCGGCGAGAACCTCATGTCTGTGCTACACCGTTTCTGCATCAACGAGAAGATCATCTTGATCCAGTCACTGCCTTGACCCCAGAACCTGCCTGGATGACCTAACTAACTCAGTTCTGGATGGTCCAGTGAGACATGGGTCCAGCCCACAACTCTGTGGTGTTAATAAGTACCACCTTTGTGCAAAGGACTGCAGTATTCTAAGGGAAACATTGGTGTTAATCATGCACACCATTATATATTTACTGGGCCAGTAACATCATCTGGACTATATACCAGTAAAGTCCGATGTGTTTGCCTTAATCTTAATTGTTGAATGATCAAAATAAGAACAAGGCATATATTTTTCACACCCAAACGTTTTGCATTTATGATTAAATATGCTTCCATCTACTTTTTTGCATATATTGTTTTGTGTATTTTTCGGGGGGGAAAAAGTGAGGCTCATTTGCGATGTATGAGGTCCGTTTTGATATTAAGTGTTTTGTACTTATGTGGTTTGTAAGGTCACTGCATTCGGAAGCTGCAGTTTTATTTATTTTACTTTTTCTCTTGTGGTTAGAATGATAAAATATAAAAATGCATTAAATCACAAACTGCCTTCTGTTAGCTGTGGTGTTTCTGTGTGATCCTTGACCGATTCACATCAGAACAGATGCGCTTAATGAGTGGCAGCTAGGGGGCGATAGTGGATTTCCCGCACATCGATCAGATGTCGTACATGCTAGTCTGATGCTGGCTTTCCCTGTAATTTTATGTATTCCTATTGTCATGTTCACAGCATGTTTTAAAGCTGTAGCTAGTTATTCAGTAAATCAGTTTCACGACTTTGGAAGATGGACCTTATCGATGTTAATATTCAGTGTGGTAAATATAGTGTTTTCAGGTTTTTTTTCCCCCACTACTCAACAAACCTTTATTCAGTGCCAGTCAACCCATTAGGTGACAGGCAGCTTGCTAGGGCGACATCTTCTGAAGGGGGTGTCCACTTAGCAAGGCAGTTTTTATTTGTCCCCGACAGTGTGGGCAAACGTAGGGCATGACATGGGATTCTACCCACACTGCTTGAAGTTGTCCGATTTTAAACCAGCAAGGCTTGCGTGCCTTAAATTGCTGCTGTCTTTTTCCTGAAAGTTGGGTGCTCCTGGGGGACGCTGGGATTTCAGCCTGGGGTGTCTCTCTACAGTGTGCTTGTATTAATGGGCCCAGAGTGCTTTTGACCTGCGGTGGATGTTCGGTGGTGGAGCTTAAGTCCTGAAGGCTTCGACAACCGCGGTCGATAAAACCACTTCAGTCGGTAGCTGCAGCAGAAAACGGAGCAGGGAACACGGCCCATCGCGTGATGTCAAGGAGCAGCACGTTAATTTCATTTAACGAACACCTAAAGATCAAGCCCGGGGTGTGGACCACGCCCAGTCTCTTACCGACGGAACTGCTCTTGTTCTGTAAATGCTGTCAATTCCGGGAAAGCCTTCTGGAAGTACAGGCGGGTCTCTGCGGAACGAATGAACAACGTGTTCTTTAAGGCTGGGTATGTTGAAAGAGATTGACAGAAGTTACAGCTGAAATTGGGTTAAATAATAGTTTAACAAAAGGAGCCCAGTTCCATCCAAAGATAGAAGTGAGAATTGAGATGGTCGTGTTGTGTGTCAGTACACCTGTTCAGCGTCAGCTGTGGAATTATGACAGTTGTTGATTTTAATAAGGTCTGGACCAGTGTCCATTACCATTAACCATAAATCATGTAAAAGATGTGCAGGACAGTTCTGCCACAATGTGTGAGTCTAATGCAGCTCATAAGCTCAAAAAATGTAAACTCTGAAGCTCAAATTACACCTTAGAGCAGTGGACCCGCACTCGAGCATGTATGGAAGGCATTTAGAGGGCAGGGAGCCTGGGATCAAAGAGCACTGTGGGGCTAGTACCGCCTCGGGGGGTGGGGGAGGCGTGCACGAACACAGTAGGATCGGCCAGCTCCTGATTTTCCCCGCATGAATCATTGGAGGCCTTATTGTCTGCTCAGGCTCGGCGGCAAACAAAGAAGCCTGTGCGGAGTACTCCTGCCATGTCATCTGAAAGACAGGGGGCGCCGTTGGGCCGTCTGCTAGTGCCGAACCCAGAGAGTGCTTCCTCACACAAGGGCAAAGCCGGGCAAAGCCGGGCATGGCCGGATGATGATGTCACAACCATAAAAAGTGCACTACTTTACAGCTTCGTAGAGTTACAGAGCAGCATACCTTCCTGTACCTTTCCTGTATAGGAGAATGTTCACACATCAACTTATTATAGTTATATATATTACTAACATGATAAATATGTTATGTTTTATAATTATGACATCATTTCTTGTAATGGGAAGGATTAAGTATGCTTCCATAGTAGTACATATTTTGCTTAGTAACTACTAAGTGTTTGTTTACCGACAAAATATTTCCCTCTGCTTCTGTTTACAAAGACATGCTGTGGTAGCACAATATGTGAGAAGAAATGGAAATAAGTTTAATAAAATGAAAAAATTTGTAATTTTTATACACTGTCACCTATTAAATGTATGTACCTATGTACTGAATTTTGATTAAACTGGTTGTATTATTGCTATATTATTTAAGTTTGCTGTCCATATCAATTTTTTTGCTTCCAGATATCTCAGTCAATGTTTCCCAGCCCGGTCCTTGGGCCCCACAGACAGTTCAGGTTTTTGCTCCCTCCAAGCTCCCAAGGACCGGATTGGGAAACGCTGATCTAGGGTGCTGAAGAGTTCCAAAGGTTAAACGGTAGGTTGTAATACATACTTTTTATACATACTTTATATATAGTACATACTTTATATACATACTTTATATATCGTACATACTTTATGTACATATTTTGTATACAGTACATACTTATAAAATTTGCATAGTTTATGTTCATACTTTTTGCACATATTTAGATTTACTCTGCAATTTACTGCTTCTTTTTTTTTTGTACAGAAATGTAGGGCAAGTTTCCGGAAGAGTAGTTTCAGGCTGTGTATCGGGCACAGAGCAGCTGGACAAATGGCATGTGAGTCTCAGGGGGGGGGGGGGGGGGGGGTCCAGCTGACAGGACACGCCCACCTTCCTTTCGCTGAACCAGGGAGCAGAATGAGAGCTGGGGAGCAGGTACCGGTGGGGAGGGAGGCGGCTATAGAACAGAGAGTGACATCATCAGCGAGCTGCCATGGAGGCAAACAGGGGAGTGTGTTATTCACAACTGAGGCGAAACACAGAAGTGTGTGTGTGGGAGGTGGGGGTGTGGAACAAGTTCACAGCAGTTCCTGAAGAAAGCAGGAGCCAAACGTCTCTGAAGCCCTGCATGGAAGTGGCCCAGTGGACCTAGCAGACTGGGGGAAAAGACAGGAGTCAGCCTGGGGCAATGTTTCAGTGCTAAAAGAAAGGGCAGAGATAAACGAAGAAAAACTGGAGGGACGAAGGGAGGAGAAACATCCAAGCTGGGACATGGCACCTTTCTTCAGCTGGGTGTCGAAGGTGAGTGCCGTGATTGGCCAGTCTGCTCGGCATTCCGGCTTTCATGCAGACCGCAATGTCAGCCTTAGCTCTCGGCAGGTTTGTAGCTCAGGCTGAGATGTTACGGGCTTGCAGTTCCTCTTTCCCTCGGGTCTGGACCTGTAGACCTTATGCCACAACTTGTAGGCTCTCGGTTTGTCTGAACTGAAAGTTTTTTGTGTACTCTTGTACCACGGAGTCCCGGGCGCTGAGAGACACAAACACTGGGTCCATGCAAGAAACAACGTGTTCGGTCTCCAGTTACACAACCCCCTCCCCCCCCCCCCCTCCCCTCCCCCAGCATTGTTTGTTTTCTCGTGTAGAAATGTGCCAGAGCTGCTCTGGGGGCTGAGCGTCACGGGCTAACAGCTGTGGCCGCTACGTCGCGCAGCTGGCGAAACGAGAGCCAGCGTCTGGGATCAGCTGGCGCATTGTCCCGCGAGCCGCACACTTCCCGAGCTGCCTGGCCATTTTCCTTCCCAGGCAGGACGAGCTGACAGAGGGTTTCCTCTGTTTGGCCTTTTGTTCCAGTGCGTCTAAAGTAGCCCACATGCAAGCCGAGATTTTTCGGGTGACGTAGGACATGAATCAAGCTGAATAAACCTGCATTCAGCATTTCCTCAAGTTGTACCAAAGAAGAAAATGTCCATCCAGCTTCTTATGGTTTATTCTGGTCAGGGTCATTGGGAGGGAGGGGGGGGGTGGAGCCTATCTCAGGCATCACAGGGCACCAGGCTGGGCTAAATGCTGGCCAGGATCAGGAAACAAAAGGTTCAATTACTATAATGAAACCTATTTCCTAATGTCAGCTACGGCTGTCAGGAACTTTACACCAATCAGAATGAGCCGACGCCATACGGTAATGTGTAGTGCGGTGGAGTTTGTCATTCGATAACATTCAGGTCAGGTCACAATATTTCTTCAAAATCAAGGTTGTTTTTGCCTGAACGTGAAATATGTCACCAGTCACTTGGGATGTTTAATCTGATGTGACGTCACATTAGTGTTTCACTGTGATATTTAACGACATGCTATGTCAGAAAACGTGAGCTTCTTAAATTGTAATTTTTAATGTTAGAAATGACCAAAACCCGGACGGCATGGGGGCACAGTGGTTAGCGCTGCTGCCTTCTAGCAAGAAGGTCCTGGGTTCGATCCCGGGACCTTTTCTGTGTGGAGTTTGATGCTGTCCCCGTGTTCATGTGGGTTTTTGCCGGGGGCTCCGGCTTCCTCCCACAGTCCCACAGCATGCAGGGTAGGCTGATTGGCGTGTCTAAATTGGCCCCCGTGTGAGGGTGGCTGGGTGAGTGTGTGCCCTGCGGTGTGTTGGCGCCTGCCCAGGGTTGGTTCCCACCTGTGCCTGTTGTTCCCGGGATGGGCTCCAGGCCCCCCGCAAAACCAGTGGGGATTAAGCAGTTACGATAATGGATGGATGGATTACCAAAACCCTGATATGCACTAATGCAGGTGCAATAATATTGTGATATGTGCAGTTATAATTAATGAACTCACTATTTTAAGCTACCCACTAGACAGTAAACATCATCACTGTAGTGTACTGTTAGGAAATGTGTTGATAAATGCTTAAAAATCAGTCAGGGAATAGTGGAAGCATAGGACCCTATTGCTGTAGTTGTGCAGCACAGAGAATAAAACACCATGGGACTGTTTTGTGACGACCTCACCTGATGCAACACATCTACCCGGGACAAGGCGAAACTTGCCCAGAAATGCCTGAGACCGCGGCTGGGGGGGCTCACCTTGATCTCCCTACGCCAAGCCTGCTCATGCTCCTATTGTCATCTGTTCTCACAGCCTTTACTGTACACCACCTGGATTTCTTTGCTGTGTTTCTGCAATCATGTTTGGACCGAAGTTGACTAAAGAAACCAATGGCAGTCTTCAGGGCAGTGCCTTGTTGACAGGTTTATTTCAAAGGCTTGTCACAGGGCTCATCCCATAGTTCAGGGTTAAATGTAGGGCTCATCACACAGTACAGGACTCATCATGGAACATAAGGCTCATCACACAGTACAGGACTCATCACGGAACATAAGGCTCATCACACAGTACAGGACTCATCACGGA